CACGGCAGGCATGGTACAGGGCGGGCACAGGCACGTGGGGAAGGAAGTCCAGGCAACACCGCTGGTCCGCACCGCTGGTCATGCTTCACACACCCAGTTTCCCTAAGTTCCAGAACTCCATCCTTCCCATGCAAGCCGCGTTCAGGAAACACACAGTCCCGTCAATGCGTGGGCAGAGCGCGGAATGCAGGCTTGAATGAAGTGTCGGTGTTCGCTTTCTCTGGGTTTGATGACGTGAAGGGAGTACTGGCTGCAGGGTCAGAACTGGGGCTGGCCCTGGGGTCTGGCATTTCCGGATTTCAGGGTGCCGAGCGCACTCCGGCGCTCCACATGCTCACGGCACACGCGGTCTTCGAGTTGCGCCTGCTCCCTGCAGAGCACGACAATGACAAGCTCTCTGAGTTAACTTCTGGGGCAGGCGTTTTTTAAAGAGCACAAACGCGGACGTTCTCCAGGGAGCCCCTTGGCAAAGGCTCCGTGTGTCTGTCCTGATTTGTTTTGCTTACGGAAGACAAAACAGCATGAAAATCTGTTTGCACGCTGGAAGGATGTGGATAACTTGAAAAGCATCTAACAATGTCGTCATGCGGCTCCAGAATTCAGGGCTTATAGCTGAGGCTCAATAACCGTCTGGGGGGACTCGGTTTTGGTAAACACTTTGAGAGTAACGTTTTCCATGCAGCTCATGATGATCAATGTTGGAAAAGGACAAAGAATAATGGAAATCAGATTCTGGTTCTTTCCGTTCCTCAAAGCTCTGAGAGAAAAGGCACCTGAAGGAACCGTCCCAAACCTGAGTCATCACTGCAGATGACTTGGGACGTGAGCTGTTTCCTTCCCTCCGCAGTCCCACCAAACCAGCAGATGAAGCTATTCTTGGAAAACGTGGCTTCCCGGCAGAACAGCCCTTGACCAGCTGTCAGGAATCATGACGGAAAAAACATGACTTTACAATGACCGCGTGAAGGCAGAGACATTTATGACAGGAGCTGAGGCCGGTGGGGACGCCTGTCTCTGCACAAGGAAACCGGACCCCAAAATAGCAGGTAGAAGCTGAGTTACTCTCAACAGATCCCACAAACATGAACATAGATAGGCACCACTGATGTTTCCAAAACCTTCTAGATTCAAACATGTTACCCCACTGCCAAAGCCACGCAGTGTGGGGCGGGAGGATGCTTGTCTCCCTGAATACAAATGACCTCGAACACACGACTTGAAGATCAAGCATAAAACGTGTGCTCAACTGCTGAAGAGCCAGAAGGCCAGTCACTATCTCTGTGATGTTGGAGAGCACCTGGAGGGCAGCATGGAGGACCGGGAAGGACTGGGAAGTGCCTGGGGCTGCCGCTCAGGCCCTCTGCTGGCGGCACCAAGGGCTGGGCTGGCACCAAGTCCAGACTTCCCCACCTGCTCTCCACCCACAGGACAATGTCCCCAGCCGCAGGGGCCACGTCCCCCTGGCTGCAACCACAGGATGAGCCTACGCCCACCCGAGCACCCGATGTCGCCGCCCTGCTGATCCACCTCCCATCTCTGGGCCTCAACTGCGGGAAGGCAGGAGGTGCTAAAACCAGAACAAAATGTACAAATCAGATGACTTCCCGAAACTTCGAACCAACAGCAGATACATTTTTCTCTAAATACGAAATGCATTTAAAATGCATTTGTTAAGTTCAAGGAACACGTGTGAGAATCTTTTTGGTGAATCACTTGGCAAATAAAACACAAGTACTTAGGTCATCTGGTGCATAATTCTGCACACAGGAAGCAGGTGTGAAGTGCTTTTAAAAAGGCAGTGAAATATTTCTATACCTTCTTCACAGTTTTTGCCAGTTTTACACGGTCAGTTTCACTTAAAGTAGGTAAATGGTGCCCATTCCCTGCACCCCCCCATGTACAACGCCGGCTGGGGCTGCGCCTGACTGTCTCTCATTGGTGGAGCTGCAGGTGGTCCATGTGCACTGAACCCTTCCTGCGTCCAGTGCAACGGCTTTCGGCTTGAGGCTCCTCTAGCCTAGCGGATTCCCCACTCTCCCCGCTCCTCCCGGGAAAGGGGTCTCAGCGACGCCCACCACTGTGCCTGCTCAGAGCAGGAGCCAGGAGAGCTCCTCCCCCATCCACCCACCCCAGACCCACCGCCCATCCTTCCAGGGGCTGCTATCCCAGGTGAGGCCAGCATACGGCACAGGTATGGTTGGGACAGGTGAGGCCGGCCCATGGCCAGGTGTGTTTGGCACAGGTGAGGCCAGCATACGGCACAGGTGTTTGTCTCCAGTGAGGGACAGCAAGGCGAGGTGGCTCCAGAGCCTGGTCTCCACCGGCACCTCATCCAGAGTTTTGAGCGACCTTCGGCCGACACGCAGTCTTGTTGCCACTCTCCCGGGACACATGCTCCCCAAGCTGCAGCTCATGGCAACCTTGAAATAGTTGAGCTTAAATGGAATGGATAATCTCTTGATGTCATACAAACTATGTAGCACTACACGTATCCAAGAAGAGCCGGCTGAATTCCGGAATAGCTGAAAAGAGATGGCTCTGAGCTCCCCACGTCCCCGTGAGGGGAAGCTCATCGGTCGCTGCTGCACCATCCAGACTGACACAACTCACCATCAAAGAAGCAGACAACGGAGGGCCGCCACTCCCGTAACTCGGCATGCTCATGAAAACTGCCCAAATTTTGAAGCAATTTGGCAATTTAAGAAACTCATTTAATTTTCCCTAGTATTTCAAATGTCCTTCTGGGTGAGGATTCTGTCAACAGTAGTGACTGCCCCCAGGCCCCGTGAAGATGGCCCAAATCCTTCCAGTTCTACTTGAAGTAGCGTCCTCTCTCCCACCCACACCCAAAGCCCAGAGCAGAGACAGGGGTCCCCCGCGGCCCCGCGGCATGGTCCCTTGGAAGACCCTCCCATCCCTGGACCCCTCCCTGCTTCAGCGTGTATCAGCCGGGGCTACACAGTCCCTCTGACAAGGACATGTCCTTGTCCACAGCACAACGTGCCTGGAGGCAGGCGCAGCTCCCACAGGCCCCTGGGACCCCACTCTCTGAGACCCCGGCTCTCTCCAGGAGCTGCCTCTTCCCTACCTGCTGTCGGCCCCATGGGGCCAGCAAGTGGCTGCCCCGAAGATGGGCTTGACAGAAAGAAGAACGCCACTCTCCATCTGAAAACGTGGCCCATTTATTTGAACTGACGGCATCGTTACATAGTGCAAATGTTTCTTTGGTAATGAACTGATTACAATGAACACAGAAAGGCACTTGGCTGTTGGCAACAGTTAGAAAGTAAATAAATATGTACACTCGCTTCGCGTGGCCGTGACCCCCCTCCCCCCCCGCCGCGGGTCCCTCCGGGCCCTGCCTGCAGCTCGGACACTTCGTGTGAGATGAAACTGGGGACCCCGCGACGGTCCGCTGTAGTTACAGACCCTCACTGTGAGTCGCAGACAACCCCCCTCCCGCCGAGAGAACACGGTCCAAGCCATGCGTTCTAACCCGCGTCTGTGCGCCTCTGTAGCAAAGCCACACGACTGCCCCCAGACACCAGGCTCTCAGAACGTGGGGTGCGCGGTCATCTTATACCTGAGCAACTTCCATAACCATCACGCTGTGCACACAGTTATCCACTCTCTCGTTGACAGCAATCGGTTCTAAGATTTGGTTATTAAATGTGACTTGATATCTCCAAAGAAGTCCCATGCCCGAGACACCAGCTTGTGTTTACCATTCAACGTTCCGAGGACAAGAAGTCAAGTTGGCCATGTTTAAAGCCACTGTGGACACTCTCACAACTGGAATGTTCACCCCAACTTGCGGGCATGGCAGCCTGGTCACAGAGACTGGCGTCTCCTGCTTCCAGAAGGATGCCCGCGCCGGGCCAGATTGGGCTCTGACCCTGCTCGCCACATGCCTAACCACCAGGAGACCTGCCTTCCGGGCGCTGCAGTCATGGCCACCCCACAGCACCCCACCCTGGACTCACCAGCACAAACTGAGACCACCTGTGTCCTTGGGGGTCCTCCCCGGCAGGGCAGGGGCCCCGCGTCTGTGCTCAGCTCGGCGTCTGTGCTCAGCTCGGTGCCTGCACGCGGTGGGTGCTCGACCACATGCTTGCGGAACTGAGCTTGCATGTTCAGGGACACGCTCCTCAGGACACATCACTTCATATCCAGAACAAAATAGGAGGTTTCCGGTCGATTAAGAAGAGAAACCATGAGGTATGATAGTTGCCTTTCTCTTGAATTCTAAGACAACTTTTACATAGGGGAAGTGATTTTTCTACCATTCCTGGCACCTGAAACGGGCAAAAATGTCATGCATTTGAAAATACAAATGAGGTAAAGGGGTCGATTTTGTTTCTTTAAGGCACTCACACGACCTGAAGGTAGGAAGTCCCTCCATGGGGAGAAGTCCTCGGCGCTCGGCCAGGAACAGAGCCCAGCGTGTGCCGCTGGCACGGGCGCGGGCCTTCAGTAGGAATGGGCTTCACATTTGGTCCACGCCGGGCAGTGTCACGCAAGCCCTAGTGAAAACCAACCTGTTTCTGCATTTCTGCACGTGGCTTCATCTTACTCTCACGGGCGAGGTGCTGGAAGTCGCAGGCGAGCGGGCGCCCGAGCAGCAGGGCCGTCGCTCAGGGACGACATGCTAGCGCCCTCCGCCCAGACCGTCAGCCCAGCTCTCCTACAAGTCTGTCCATCAGCCACACACTGATCTTCCCTTTCCACCGTGGCGTGCGTCCTTCCGGTGGCTCTGGGACGTGCCCTTGCTGGGGGGGGCTCGTCTGCAAGCTCCAGGTGTCCGAACCAAGCGGGACTCACTTTCGGTCGAGAAGAAAACGGTGGTATCCAGGGAAGTGAATTTAGGAGCCTAAATGACTTAACTGTGCAATTTAATAGTAGCACCAATATTTCAATAAAAACATTAAATAAAAACCTGAGAATCTAACGTGAAGTTAGGACGCGTGTCCGTGGTTTCTCCTCTGTGAATGATCTGGTCTAAGCACCTGCCCTCCATCGAGACACAGGGGTCCCTCCCATCCGCACGCCCTGTGCCGGCCGTCAGTCTCGAGGACGCGGAGGGCCCCGGAGGCCTCGCTGAGCCTAAGGCTTCTTCCCCATGCCGTCTCTTGGGCAGACCGGGCAGCAGGCCCCATGGGCTCTCACGGGTGCTGGGCAATCGGCAGGCTGGCAGGCCTCCACGAAGCAGGTGACCTGCCCGTCCTGGGGGAGAGAGGTGCCAGGACCCGTCAGTTCCCGGGGTACGCAGCCTGTGCATCACCCCCCTGCCTGTCTGCCCTTCCAATCCCTGTGCCGGTCTGAGCTCTTTGGTGCAGTTTGTAATCAAGGGCTGATTCTCCCGCTGATTAATAGCTACAGACACACTGCACTTCTTCCGGAAAGTTCCCGCCCCCACCCCAACTGTCCACCCACCCTGAAGAGAGCCCAGGACCACGGGCTCAGCACAGCCCCCTGGCCCTGCACCTGGGACCCCAGGATCACGTCCGGGATGTCCACCAGAAGGAGGACAAAGTAGGGAGAGGCTGCAGGGGACCGTGCTGTCCCCACTCTGCTCTGTCATTCCCAAACAGGACAACCACCAGGGACCCTGGAGCTCCCTTCCCATCCCCGGCCAGGAAACACATCCCCTTCCTGAAGCTCCGGCTTGGACACAGGGGCCACCACGGCCACCACAGCACCTCCGTCCACTTTCTCTGGAGACCGAGAATCACCTGGCAGGCCCACCCTCCCAGCTGGTGCAAACACCCTGAGGCTGCCGGGGTCAGTGGTGTGCAGGCCCACCCTGAACAGAGCTCTGGGAAAAGAGCCCCTGACTTCCGAGTGTGGCCACCCGCCTCAGAGTGCAATTAGTCCCCCCAGTTCCCACGGCAGAGCCCCACACTCACTCGGCACTCGCAGACGGAGCATGCGTCTCGCTTCCACTTGGCGCCATTGGCGTGAGGCTCCCCGTCTGCATCTGTGCAGTCCGACGTGCTGAGCCGGGACTCCAGTCTCTTTATCTGCAGCAAAGCAAAAATGTGCACTGCTCACTGGAGGTGACGGTCTCAGCTCTGGAAGCGCACCCATACCTCCGCTTGGGATAATGACGCCTCAGGCTCAGCAGGGACGCTTCGGGTTCCAAGACCTAGGTGACAGCCCTGCGTCATGGGGCACAGACTGCAGCCTATGGCAGCTCCAGGGAAAGAACAGAAGCCCGGGGGGGATCAGATGAGAGGCTCCTACGCGACCGTGCGAGTGGGAACCACCCAGACAAGAACATCCTGCAGGTAGACTCCTGGACGCAGACAGCCCTGACTGGCCACCAGCCCCAGCCGCAGGTGGCACCCCTCCTCCATCCCTTCTGCTGGGGGCCGACACGGATGGCGGCCAGACGTGCTCGTCTCTGCACCATGGAGGGTCCAGCAGCCCCCAAAACTCCCAGCTCATCTATCGGTCCTCGAGTGGGGTTCCCGTCACAGGAACCGAATCTCCCGACCCCAAGGAGGAGAACGGACACAACCAGGCGCGACCGCCTAAGGAAGCATCAGCAGCGGGGGCATCTGCTCTGATAGAGGACGGAGCGCCAAGAACGGATTCGACATGCAGACCTCCCGCGCGCTCCTGTCCATTAAACGTCCTCCATCTACTCCGTGTGACACTGTGCCGTTCACCGCATGGCCTCCAAGCTGCACAAGACCACGCGGTCTTCGTGGTCTAGGTCACCTGGCCTCGCACACTCTGCATCTGCGCGGTCTGCAGCCCGGTGACCTGTGCTTTGCCAGCCCAGGGCATGGGCGCCCAGGTCTGCAGGTCGGGTGCGGCTCTGGAGGGAGGCCGCCTCCTGCACTCAGGCCCTTGCTAGCGTCATGATCTTGACGTCCCCAGACCTCAGAGCTGTCTTCCAACTCCTGAGGGCAAGGAGGGTCCCTGAGGCCGCGGGAGCGGCAGCACGGGCCAGGCGGAGCTGCTGGGAACGCTGGGGGGCTCTCCTTGGTGATCGCTGACCGAATTGTGGTATAAAGCTGGAAGAAGCAAGGACAAACCTCGCCTGGCGTCTCCCTGGGAGACGACTGGGGTAGAAGCAGCTCTGTGTGAACCAGACCCGGCCGTGCAGAATAAGAGAGATGCCCGCAAACGTCCCACCCATCTCCACCTGCATTTCCCAAGACCTGGCGCCCTGCCCATCGAGCAGCCCTGCCCTGAAATGCGGGGGTGCACAGAGGGAAGGGGACGCACGCCAGGGTTGTTTTGTCCTGCGGCTGGAAGAAGCCACAGACGAAGTCACACGTGCTGGTGGGCGCCGGGGGGGGGGGGGGCGGGGGGCTGGTGGGCTTGGGTCAGCCAGCTGTGTCCCCCCTCCTGCCTCTGCTCGCACTGACCCATCTGCACAGTGAGACCTCTCCCCCCTGCACACTCCACGTGGTCACTGGTCCAGCCTGCCGGCCCGGAGTGGCCATCTCCAGGACTCAGCGCCCACCAGCCCCAGGCTGAGCCTCCAGTATGCCTTGTGCCCGTCACAGCCTGGCTGTGCCTCTCTGGCTGTGGGCGACGGTCGAGGGGCTTCTCTCCTGATGCCACAGCCCTGCCCTCTGACCGGTGCCAGGCGTCCCCCCACCCTGTCTCCAGTCTCTGTCACGCACCTAGAGGCTGTCAGGTGAGACTGCAGCTCACGCTAAGCTGCACATCCAGCCGCGAGAGCATGTGCACGTGACCGGGAGAGACAACCCCATGTCCTCCTCGTCCGAGGACTGAGGACCCCACATGTAGCAACGGAGTCCTGCTACCAGAGCACCACTCACAGGCCCCTCTCCAGAGGTTTCCACAGCATCAGGCATTTATGCCAGTAGGACCGTCCGACCTGCACACTGACTTTTAACCTGGGACCTCAGTCTCCACTGGAGCACACATAGAGCTCACTGAGGACGGGATGCAGAAAAGCGGACAAGAAGAAGCTCCCGGGTGGGGGAAGGCAGACCAGTCATTTTCTGCAAAACCCTACAGGTCCTTGGAGAAGAGCCCAGTGTGGAGACCCTTGGTGGGTGCCCTTCCCCACATCCAGGGAGACCTGACCACAGAATGCCTGCTGACCCCTCCGTGGGGACAAGGATTAGACCGACATTCCTAAAGAAGTGGCTTTGGAACAGGACCTGAGGTCTGAATTCTCCTTCATGACCCCTCCCGACCTAGGATCTCTGTGGCCGCTCCAGGGACCCCACCCCCTCCCCAGTGGCACCTGAGGGCAGCCCACAGGGAGAGCTTCCCAGCCACCAGGAAACCGGAGGGCAGCCCCATGTGGCCGGGCCGGGGACAGGCCACAAAAGAAGAGCCACTCAGACAGGAGGCTCCGGATCGGGGAGCTGGTGCAGATTTCACACCTGCAGGGTCTCGTGAGCAAGAACACTGCCTGTGACTCGGGACGGGATGTGCAGAGAACAGGGACAGTTACCTGTTCTCTGAGGTCTGTGATGGTCTTTTGCATCTCCAGAACAAAGTCCTTGAAGTCATTCATCCCCGGTACTTGAGAGCGCTCACGGGAGGGGGCCGTGGCATTGCCCGGATGCTTTCTGTGTTTCCCGATGCTGCACGGGGCGGGGGGGCGGGAGGGGGAGGGAGGAGAAGCCGCCAACACACCTCAGCGTGTCACATGTGGCCACAAGCACCCCCGCCAGCACCCCGCACCCTGCCCCGGAGCTGGCCGTACCTCGGTGTCCCCCCAGGGCCTGCTTCCCCGGTGGGCTCATCCTCTTGGTAGCTGAACCCCAGAGACCGCCTGCCTCGGAAATGGTGCGAAAACACGTTGAACTGTCCCCTGGTCCTGCAGTCTGAAACGAGCGTACAGGTGTTAGACGTTGGCTCTAGTTCAGGGGATGGCGAGCACATCCTGAGAAACGTCACTGAGCCTTCACAGCACGTCTATGGTGCAAGCCGGGGCCTCGTGGCGGGCCTCCTCCCTCCACGGCCAAGACGGCTGCTGGACCACATCCTCCTGGTCCGGGAGCCCCCAAAGCCACCTGGACTCCCCACCGACAGCCAGGACAGCCTCCTCCTCCATATTCGCGCCACAGCCCCCGGCCGCTCAACCTCGAGCGGGCTTCCCACCACCACTGGGGAGGACTCAGGCCAGGGCATCCCCTTCCTCTGCGGCCCGGGTGCTGTGCGCTCGGGGGCACCGTCCACACACCCCTGCTCCCTCGTCCCACCTCCAAGCCCTGCTCCTCCTCAGCTCCCTCCTGCCCATCCCACAAACACCCCGTTTCACTCCGTGCCCCATCTGCCCAGGACATGCCTGGCCGGGAATGGCAAAGGCAACACCTGGCCCTTCGCAAACCCTGGAGTGTGCAGAGCAGTGGTGGAAATCCCCAGGAAGAGAAAGTACATGAGAAATAGGCTGGTCTCCTTCCCCTGCTCCCCCTCATTTCTCCCAGTCTGGCTGGCCCGTGACCGCCGCCGGAGAGCAAAGGCAGGGACCTAAAGCCCACGTCTGCGCACAGGACAGAGTCCACAGGCAACTCCTCCAAGCGTTCTGCGATTTACTCCAGCAGTTAAGCATTCAGCTTCCCACTCGAACCTGGACCCATCGCCCGAAATTCCAACCCTGAGGCAGTCTCACCATGTAAACGCGCCGGACCCAGGAGGCCCCGCGGTCATGCGGTGTGGGAGGACCCCGACACCAAAGTGCTCACCACCCCATCGGGGTTCATGGCTCACAGTCCACGGTGCCCCTCGGAGTTGCAGTAGGAGCTCACTTTGAAGACAAACGGCCTGTGCTTTCCACACCCAGAAACACGCCCATTCTCACAGCCGCCCCCATTGGGCAAATGCGAATTCACATTCCAACCAGATAACCCATGTCCAGGTCACCAGTGAGGAGCTGCATCGCGCACCTCCTGAGGCTGCCCCAGGAGAACGCAGCCTGCCCATGGAGCGCCAGCATGCCGGAGGTACAACCTGGGTCTAATCCGAGAAAACTGGCTGCAGAGTCCACAGCAGGTTCAGAGGAAGTGGGCCCAGCACCTGCTGCGGAAAGTGGGGGCCAAGGGGTGCGGCATGCAATCCCCCCATGGGAAGTACACGGAGTGCGTCTGCACTCACCTCCCCAAGTTTGCCCATACATGCACTTTCTTCAGGAGGAGAGCAGTCTGCGCCTTTCTCAGCTCGTTTAGGAAAAATGTGATGTACTCCCTTACAAACACACACATCCCTGTACACACGGTCGCACATATGCACACATACACATACACATGCGTGCACACATGTGTTCATACAGACTCCTGTAAATGGGGAGAGAGAACAGTAATACAGGACAAAACTTTAAGAACTGATGAATCTGACGAAGTACAGGAATTCTTTGTAGTATTTTGAAATTGATGCAATTATTTCAAAGCTGGGTATGTGCATTTGTGTGCACGTGTGTGCAAGTGCCCCATCAATCCCCACAAAAGGGCAATTTCTAACTTTGGTAAAAGAAAAAGAAACCGAGCACCCGGGTGTCCTTTCTCAGGGCTCTCCTGTGTGCGCGCCTCCCGCTTGGGTCTCCAAACGCACTGACGGGACACTGCGGTGAGCTCAAGTGAACTGCTCCCTTTTTTTTTTTTAAGTGGAGTGGAAAGTAAACGGCAACTGATATTTGGTCCCGCCAAACCTTAACTCTTTTTCTTTCTGCCGTATTTCAGACGTGGCTTTTGACCTATGATGGAAGACAAAGCTTCCGAAGCATCCTTGAACCTGGCCCACTCAGGACCTGGAGGGAATGTGTCCAGGGAAAGGGAAGTCGGAAAGGCCTCAGCAGGTGCACAGAGGGGAGAGGGCCCCAATGATGACACTGGCTCTGAGTCTCTGTCTCTCCCGGGACTCTGGCTTTTCCGAGAGAAAACAACAGAAAACCCAGCTCAGCCCCCCTCGAAGCAGTGAAGGGGCCTAGTGGCGCCATCAGGACGTGAAGTTTTGTATCCGAGAAGAACCGGCTTTCCCAGCAGCTTTCAAAGAGCAGTTTTCTGAAGGTGCGAGGACCACTCTCCGCCACACTCACGGAAATGCCAGTTGAGCTGGACAAACCAGCAAGGGTATTTCTAAAAAAAAGCTTAAAAAAAAACCCAAAACAAGCTTTCCTTAGATGTAAGAGTGAGAATGTAAATGTTTTGGGACGCGGGGTGTGCAGTAAACTGAGCTCCAATCTTCACGTGAACCCTCTTATAAAATCACACACATGCTCAGCACCTGCACGTGTACGCGCCCCGCACATTCACCGAGAGAGGCCAGCCAGGCGGAGGCAGACACACGAGCAGATCAGCACAACCATCCGCACGCAGACACGCGCAGAGGAAGGACAGCGCTAACCAACCAACCCCGATTCTAACGCTCACGGACACGACAGCCGGTTAAAAGCAATGACCAGGGAGGACGAGAGCCCGACCAGCACCGTTTCCTCCGGGAGAGGAGGCAGAAGAAGGACAGCTCTAGTCTCCTGGCCGCAGAAGAGGAGGGTCGCACGGGCGGCTCCAAACACGCCCCAGCTTCATCCTCCCCGGGTCTCTGATTGCAGTTTGAATAAAGCCAAAATTACGTTCAAAATAGGAAATGAAAATCACGTGAGCCACAGCAGGATTTGTGAATTCAAGGGAGCCTCAGGGTGAGGACGGCAGCCCCAGGCGGCAGGGACCCTCCAGCCCCTCCAGGTGTCCCCAGGCCCACACGGACGGCAGGCCCACCTTGAGACCTTTGACAACACGCCGCGGAGACCTGTGTAATCACAGGCCTTTGGAACACACAGCGTACTGAGCTATGTGGGTAGTCTGCGTCGTGTGTCATTCGCGGGCACCAACACGCGACACTCATCCAACAAAGTACTCGTATTAGACACAGGTTAGGTTTTAAAGAAAAAGCAGAAGCCTGATTGATTACGCTTATTCCTGCCTCCTGTGTGCGGCACTCGGCACTGAGTTCTTTCAGCGAACAGCACGGTGTAAGGACCAGCTCCTCACGACCGCAGTCCAGGCTCCGCTGCGTCCCCGCATGGCCACCCCCAGAGCTGGGACGACACACCCCTGGGACTTGTACCCCGGCACGCGCGGCAGGACCCCGGGACGACGCACCCCGGCTTGGCAGGGCCCCGGGACGCGCACCTTCACAGCAGTCCTGCCACACGCGCAGGTCCACCCTGGGGACTTCGTCACAGCTGCCGTACCCGTGGGGGAACTCCGCCACGCGGAACACGTCCCTCTGCACACGCGTGATGTTGTCGGCGTTGTCACACAGGATTCTGGCCAGGGACGTCTGCTTGATCTGGGTCAGCTGCGCCGGGGAGAACACCCCCGGGTTTTCATACCATAACCTGTGCTTCCCCAGAACGAAAGAAGAGCAGACACAGGGAGGTGAATCCAAACGTTCCCCAACCAGCTCTGCCGACAGGACAGACACCACCGGTGTCGTCAACTGGGTGTCACTTATGGAGGGACTCAGACACGGCTCAGCTTTCTGACTCAAGAAACAAAACAAAAAATCTGGACTAAAATCGGCAGAGGGTCAGCTGCTCTGAGAAGCCGGCAGAGGCCACACTGTTAGAAACCACGGCGTGGCGCAGCCCCGCAGATGCACAGGGGGCTTCCCTGTGTTAAACTACACTGATGACACCACATTAAACCTGACACTTTGCAGTCTTGCCAGAAGTTCAAATTCCTCCAAACTCCCACAGTGGCTGAACCCTATGAATTGTCTGTTCCCAGAAACAGAAGTACCCTAAGTGGAAGGACACAAAAGCACCTGAGAACAGGGTCATTTGAAATCTCAGGCTGTGGTGGGAGGAAAGTCCCCATACCAGGGAGTTGATCACAAACACAGTGAGAGGCAAAGACACTCCTTCACTTTTCACCTGGACACAGACCTCCACCAACGGCTCATCTCCCCAGGTCCCCAGAAATGTGCATTTAAGAGCAGAGGTGGCTCCTGCTGTCACCCGTCTCCGTGGCACGCGCATTCACCTGTCCCTGTGGCACCTGCGTTTACCTGTCCCCATCTCTCAAGCGCTTGAACTGCGTGCTCAGCAGGCACATCAGGGTGGGCCCCAGTCGGCTGCCAGGGACCAAGTCTTCCACCATGAGGGCAGGGAATAAGTCAATGTTGAGTGGGGACCCATACAACCTGTAAAACAAACAAGTGAAACCTTAAATTTGCCTAAGAAAGCGGTAGGTAGTAGATAAAACAAATATGAAAAAAGCCCTCATTTTTTATTATTTAGCACCTTTCAGACGTTCTGTTAGCAAAGAAAATTCACTTTTATTTATCTATACATTATATTTTATTAACATATATTATTTGTTCCAGAGGTACAGATCTGTGATTCAACACTCTTGTACAATTCAGAGCGCTCACCATAGCACATACCCTCCCCAATGGCTATCACCAGCCACCCCATCCCTCCCATCCCCCCTCCACTCTAGCAACCCTCAGTTTGTTTCCTGACATTAAGAATTCCTCATATCGGGGGTGGGGGGATGGGTTAGCCTGGTGATGGGTATTAAAGAGGGCACATTCTGCGTGGAGCACTGGGTGTTATGCACAAACAATGAATCATGGAACACTGCATCAAAAACTAATGATGTAATGTATGGTGGTTAACATAACAATAAAAAAGTTATTAAAAATAAAAAAAATAAAAAAAAGAATTCCTCATATCAGTGAGGTCATATGACACGTCTTTCTCTGATTGACTTATTTCGCTCAGCATAACACCCTCCAGTTCCATCCACATCATTGCAAATGGCAAGAGCTCATTCCTTTTGATGGCTGCATAATATTCCATTGTGTATATATACCACATCTTCTTTATCCATTCATCTGTCGATGGACATCTTGGCTCTTTCCACACTTTGGCTATTGTGGACATTGCTGCTATAAACATTGGGGTGCACGTACCCCTTCGGATCCCTAAATGTGTATCTTTGGGGTAAATACCCAGTAGTGCAATTGCTGGATCGTAGGGTAGCTCTATTTTCAACTGTTTGAGGAACCTCCATACTGTTTTCCAGAGGGGTTGCACCAGCTTGCATTCCCACCAACAGTGTAGGAGGGTTCCCCTTTCTCCGCATCCCCGCCAACATCTGTCGTTTCCTGACTTGTTAATTTTAGCCATTCTGACTGGTGTGAGGTGGTATCTCATTGAGGTTTTGATTTGGATTTCCCTGATGCCGAGCAATGTGGAGCACTTTTTCATGTGTCTGTTGGCCATTTGGATGTCTTCTTTGGAAAAATGTCTGTTCATGTCTTCTGCCCATTTCTTGATTGGATTATTTGTTCTTTGGGTGTTGAGTTTGAGAAGTTCTTTATAGATTTTGGATACTAGCCCTTTATCTGATATGTCATTGGCAAATATCTTCTCCCATTCTGTCGGTTGTCTTTTGGTTTTGTGGACTGTTTCTTTTGCTGTGCCGAAGCTTTTTTTATCTTGATGAAGTCCCAATAGTTCATTTTTGCCCTTGCTTCCCTTGCCTTTGGCGATGTTTCTAGGAAGAAGTTGCTTCGGCTGAGGTCGAAGAGGTTGCTGCCTGTGTTCTCCTTTAGGATTTTGATGGGACTCCTGTCTCACATTTAGGGCTTTTATCCCTTTTGAGTCTATTTTTATGTGTGGTGTAAGGAAATGGTCCAGTTTCATTCTTCTTATACATTATATTGGAAAAATTTTCTGTATTATTTATATATACATGTATAAAACACATGCACCCTTTATTATAAATTTAGAAAAACCAAGTTAATATAGGAAGAAAATTAAACTCACAGCTTTTCTATTCAGAAATAGTCACACTTGACAGTACAACGTATGCATCCTTTGAGTTTCTTTTCATAAATACAAATGAACAAACTTCACAAAACTTTTAAAAAAATAACTGTAACACTGGGATTCGAGTATTTATTGAAAACACATGTGCTGCAGAGAAGCTATTTGCTAAGCGGAACTCGTACACGCGCCTCAGACAGCAAGGTTTAAATGCTCCAGAACAAACGCGTTCATAGAATTCTTGCGATTCCATAGGAACGCCAGTGTGGGAGAGGAAAGGACAGCAGGCTGCCAAAGACCCCCAAGCAGCCCTCCCAGATGCACACGGCAGCTTGCCTTCAACTAGGACTCCAAGCCCAGGGGGTTTTCTCAGCGTGGCTGGCGGAGGCGCCCTGCGGCTCGCGGCCCGCACAGGACAGAGGAGGAGCTACGGCGGCAGCGCTGGTCCTTTGGGAAGGCTGGGCGCTCCCTCGGACTACAGGCCCCCAGCAAGCCCATGCATGGAAAGAGCAGCTGAGTGGTGTGGTTCCCCGGGAGCTGCCTGGGAGCCGGTGCGGGAACCCGGAGCCCCAGCCCCACCAACACATCTCCCACGACCTCGCACCTGACGCTTCAACGAAACAGGGGACGCAGCCATCAGGGCAGCTCCCCACTCTGGCCAGGCCCTGCCCCTCCCTCCCTCAGGCCCTAAGGAAGGTCCTGAAGTTTCCAGAGCCTCCAGACCTCCAACTGCAAGTCCCCTTTCCCCGCCTGGCCAGCCAACCAAGAGGAAAGTGAGTGAGTGACTGGGTGTTTGGTGAATGAGGTGGAATGTTTTTCACGGGGTCTGTAGCACACACGGGGTGCGTCCTTCTACCCGCCAACAATGCTATGCAGGAGCACTAGCGCCTCTGGACTGTTGGACGTTGAGTCTGGCCAGGGAGAGAAATACAGGGACAGTTACCTGTGTCCATGAGGAGAGCAGAGGAGGCGATTTAAGCACATGGGAAATACAGAGCGTTCACGTAAATCATAATCAAGCCACATGGTGACAAAGATGGTCCGGTACCGGGCGAGCTGGACAGGCCAGTAGCCCAGGGCTGTGTGTGCACAAGCGCAGGGATACGCGAAGCTCACACGTGCTCTTCTGCACAACTTACATCGCGCCGAAAAAGTCATCTTTCTGTAGAGGACACGTCGGAGGCTGACTAGAGAACCCTTCCATCCAGTGTTGAGGGAGTAAGGCAAGAATACATAATTTACTCCGCGGTGAACTGGAGAGTCCACGAAACAACACAGTGAGTCCTCAGAAGATTTCCCTCTTAAAACAATTCTTTCAAATGCGAATGAACACAACCGAAATACCCAGTGTCCTGCGGACTGAATTGACAAGTCCCAGGACGGTGATCATGACAGAGAAACTCTACTGAGCGGCTGATTCCATTAAAGAAACTGGCATGATGAACGTGGTAACGGTCACCACGCCAAGGGCAGCGGTGACCGCAGAGAAAGGCCGGGGCTGAGCGTGCAGAAAACTGCAGGTCGACCACGGAGGCCACGGAAGGGCTGGTGTAGACGGCTGCCCCCATCCTCCTGGATCAAGGCCTCTCACCTCTCTGCTCCTGTGGTCTCCAGGGGCCCGGCACACCCTCGCGGTCCCACCACCGCAGCCCCCCGCACCTGCTCAGCGGAAACCCGCACGATCGCCTGAGGTGGTCCCCAAGCTCCGAGAGGTTGGCAACTCTGGCCCCGCTGTATTGGGTGAGCCCTGGTGCCCTCTGCTTGACAGGAGTGCAGGAGCTCCCCACAGAGCCCAACATATCCCAGCTGGGCCCTCCTGCCGAACAGGCACACTGGACGACCACGTGACTATGGCCATGGCCTCCTGCTCCAGCACGGCCACCAGACGTGGCCCCTCTGCAGGCTCCACCCTCCGGGGCTCCTCTCCCCTGGCTGCACAAACACACACTCAAATACAAAGAACAGCAGCCACACACGCTTGGGGCCACCGTTCTCGGCACACCTGACCTTTACATACGGAGGACGCCAAACGGTTTCCTTCAACTCACCGTCTCAGCTTCTCCCGGATCTCAGGGTTCTTGATCTCATTTTTCAGGTCCTCGAAGGTGTGGGCGGACGACAGATTGCAGTAGACCCGGTATTCGTGGTAGGGCGGGATGCCGTGGTCCCGGCCACGCTGGATGTTGATGGCGGCTAGGTCCAGGGCCACCGTGTGGGCCATGGAGAAGAGCCGCTCCGTGAGCTCCGTGTTCAGCAGCTGCGAGGGTACACGCATCTTCCCCGCCACACCGAACAGGCCTCTGAGCAGCGGGTCGATGCCGCCCTCGCTCACGATGCGAAAGGGAGAGAAGAAGGCTTTGTGCAGGGGAATGTGTCCCTGCATGATGGGCTCGAAGTTCTCGTCCAGCCGGTGCAGCACGGGGTTGATCAGCGTGTGGCCAAACCGGAAGGCGGCCGTGGCGAAGGCGTTAACGATGCCAGCGTTGACGCCCGGGTCGTAGCCGCGGTACTCGCCCAGCACCTTCATGCCCACCTCGCCCAGCACCTTAGGCAGCCAGTGACGGTAGGTGATGTGCTGCATCTGTGCGCCCACGATCTTCCTCGCCTCGTGGTAGATGGTGTCGCCGTCCCAGTGCGGGTTCAGGCTGAGCAGCTCAGCAGCCACGCGGTTGTGCTCACGGAACCAGAGCGTGTGCATGCTCGTCAGGCCCAGCTGCTCGTTGGCACGGTGGTCCCCAGCCAGGAAACAAGGGATGGGGCTCTCGTTCTCGTCCCGCATGCACTCTGTGGGCGGTCCGGCGGCGAACGGCAGCAGCGGCTTCCCCGACCGCTGCACGATGCCCTGCCGCAGAAGCCCCCGGTGGCTGGCCAGGTCTCGGATGGCACGCGCCTCGTGTTCCGTGCTCCCATACACGTTGGAAGCGTCGATATAGGAGGTGAGCTGGTTGATCTGCTCCCGTGGGTACACGGAGTTCATGAGGAGGGACGTCATGCCGCTGCCACACACGGGGCTGGAGCGCACGAAGAACATGCAGCGTGCCCCGTTGCGGACACGGGGGTCGTTGGGGGGCACGGCCACCGAGAAGCACGGGGGGTCACTGCTGCACACGGAGCTGCAGTGCTGGCCGTCGGAGAAACGGGCCTGGCTCAGGGCCACCACCGTGGAGTCCAGGTCGTGGTCCAGGAACTGGCCCCACTGCATCAGCATGTGTGTGAACTGCGCGTCGGGCGTGATGGTCTCCGTCCCAAAGAGGGAGGTGGACACCAGCCGGGGCATGGGGAGCGCGTGCCCGTGGTACAGCCGGCCGGGGTTGATGCCCCGGGGCGTGTTGAACCCATTCTCATACACGGCTTTCAGCAAGCGTTCGAAGGCAGTCAGCGAGGCGCCCCACATGGGGTGCTGCAGGTTGTTGCACGTGCCGTCGTGAGTGCGGTACTTCTGGTGGAAACACATGTCCGAGCAGTTGTTCACCCGCCGGTGCGCCGTGCAGCCTGACAGGTTGGCGATGAGGCTCAGGTACTGGGGAGACACGAGGTCATTGTAGTGGTAACCTGCAGGGGAGAGGGGGACACAGCTTACTCCCTGGACAGCGGACAACACACGGGGAGAGGGGACCTGTGTGTGATGGGCGGGGGGACAACCCGGGGTCCACTCAGCAAGGGTAAGGGGTCTCGGCAGGAACAGCTGGGAAGGACCTGACCTGCAACAGGGCTGACTCTGGGGGCTGCCCGAAGAGCCTCGCCCTCACGCAGGGGCACACGGGCTCACACACGCGCCCTCATGCCCACACACTCACTCGCAGGGGCACACGGGCTCACACACGCGCCCTCATGCCCACATGCTCACACGCAGGGGTACACGGGCTCACACACGCACCCTCATGCCCACACGCTCACACGCAGGGGCACACGGGCTCACACACACGCCCTCATGCCCACATGCCCACCCACTCTGCTGGGCACCTGCTCACCACTCCGTATTTCCAAAGTATCTGCTCAGAGCAGAACAAGATGGACCCTGCCTACATTTAAAGGAACCGAACCAGTTCCAGTTTGTGGGTGTGGTGTCTGAACAACCCCCCCATGGAGCTGGAGGCGGGGAGGTGTCCCAGTCAGAAATGGGAGCTGGCGGGCTGCATGAGAGGATGCACCGCTAGGGTGTTTGGGCTCAGTTAGACCTGAAAACTCTGTCAGCAAGCACCTCCCAGACACGAGGATGGAAGACAGGGATGTCTGGCTCTGTTCTGTTAGCTCAGGAAGTCTCAGAACCCCCAGGGGTCGGGGGCTCATGAACAAGCCCGGTGGGAAGGCTTCCTCCCGCACTGTCCCTCTCTCCATGGGGTTGCAGCACCAGCCACCGGCCCAGGCTGGACGCGACAGGCCACCCGTGAGGTCAGACGTGCTTGCTGTGCTTTGAGAGACAGAGCCTTCTAAAGCATCGCTGATAAAATGATGCCAAACCACACCTTCCTACAAAACCGAGCAGGCCGATCACTGCGGGGCAGGCATACGTAAGTTCTGGATTATGAGCTATTCACCAGGAATTCTGCGAACTGCCCTGACCATTTTCAACTATCCTTGTCCACTGTGCTTTGCTTTAGAAATGAAAACTCTCTCTGAATGCAAACAACTAACTACTAGTGAAAATACTAGAATATAAACCTGAGAATAAGGGAACAGACGAGAAGACTATTCTGTGACCCGAGAGATGCTGGGAGGACTGTTTGCGGAGGCTCAAACGTTTTCTTCCGGGGTGAGTTAGGACACTGGGGTTTGTGGAACCAGGACCCGGGTACCCCCGGAGACCGATGTCTCCTGTGCACGCCCGGAGCTTCTGGAGGTGAGACAGCCCCTCCCCAGCCCCTCACCTGGTCCTCCACCAGCTTCTCCACGTCACTAAGTGTCACCTCTGGCCTTCCGGCCCCTGGGGCGAAGACCCCATCAACTGACCCCTCCACATCCAGGCCACAAGGGACTATGTCCCCTCTGCCTTCAAGGCACCTGGAATCCACCCCTCACCAGCCACCCTGGTGCCAACACTTTCCTCTCTCCTGGGCCACCCCACGGATGTCTGCCACCCCAGGCCCTCCCGGGCCACTCCACGGACATCTGCCACCCCGGGCCCGCCCGAGCCACCCCACGGACGCCTGCCACCCCGGGCCCTCCCGGGCCACCCCACGGACGCCTGCCACCCCAGAAACCCCAACAGACACCTGTCTGGTTCCCCACACTGTCCTTCCCCCTCTGTGGCAGGGCCACCCAAGTGATCAGGTCACTTGTCTACAGGAAGCACCATGGCTCCCACATCACACACACCAAGACAAGTCCATCCTCTTGCCTCAGGAGCCCGTTCAGATCGAGAACCCGAAACCATGCTCGCGGCCCCGCCTATGCGTCCACCTGCTGCAGCCGTGCGGGCGGCCTGCTCACCCGCAAATATCCCCAGTATGGCCCAGAGCCGTGCGCCCCTCTGCTGGGGCTTTGAGTCACTTTAGTTTCTCCTCTCTGTCCAGGTTTCCACATTTGTCTGTAAACAGTACATGTTGGTAGGAGGTGAGCACGCTGTCCTGCACGAGAACAACGGCAGACGGGCTCTGCTTCTGCAGGTGGCTGCGCAAGGTCCGACACCCTGACAGAGGGAGGCCACAGCAGGGAGAAGGAGCAGCGCGCACCCCACAGACCCTCCACGCTCGGCAGAGTGTGGTCCTTACGACCGACGGCAGGAAGCACGGGGACAAGGCCACATGTCCCACACGTCCCTGCCCCATTCCCGGGCCTGAAGGGGGGAAAGTGCCCCCAACATCGGCGAGGGCAGAGAAGGCGGGCCCCCACGTTTCTCCCCAGGGAGCGCCTACGAGGCCAGGCTGGTCGGTCCAAGAAGGAGTGGAATCGTCCGCACGGCCCCCGACCGAGGCCGGTGCCTCCAGGAGGATGAGGAGGTGCCACGGTCTACACGTCTACACAGCAGCGCCGGGAAGCTCAGCCCCAAGCCCGGGCAGGACTGAGGACGGCTTGGGCACTTCCTCTCCTCCCAGGAAGCAGCGGGCCCAGTTTCCACATCCTCATGCCGCACGTTCGTATCTAAGAACACTCAGTTCTTGAGTGACATTTCTGTCCTACAGGCAGGATGGGCTCCCCGAAGACGAGTCAGAAAACCCCGTGGAAAGCCCCCAGCCTGACCCCTAGTGAGGGGACGGTGTGCACACGCTCCCACAACACTTTAAATGAATACTCGCCATTGAAGGGATGCTTCCACACAGGAGAAACCCTGGGCCTCGAGCGCCCTTGAGAGCGCTGCGCCCGGCTGGCTCTGTGCAGACAGGCTGCGGGAGGGCCGTCAGGCTCCCTCTGTCCACACAGCACCAGGGCGGCCTCAGCAGCGGCCTCACGAACGCCCGAGCACCAGGAGCCCCCTTCCCGACAGCCACAACCCTGCATCCCAGGCACACGGCCTCACAGATTCGCAACTAGCCCGCCGGGTCACAGGGGCCCGACCCACCTGGCCTGGGGCTCAGGGCAGTGCAAGGCTCAGTTGCGTGTCAGGGGACCCGAGGCAGCGGCTGTGCAGCCCAGGCCTGGGCCACCGAGTGCTCCCTCAGACAAGGGGATGCAGGAACGGCTCCCAGGAAGGCCCCACAGCCGTGCGGCCCAGCACTCAGGGAAGGGGCCCCGGGACTGACTTGTTCCGTTGAGGTCGACCATCAGGCCATGCTGCACGTGCTCCTGAATGAGCTGCAAGGTCCGCTCAAATATCTCTCCAGCGCGCGCCTGCTCCACGGTGTAGGGGTCCCTCGGGTACCGGAACAAAGCCAGCAGGTCGTTGGGAGATCGGGGACGGCTATCAGGGGTTGAGGGGCACACAGGGAAGAGCAGAACCAACTTTTGAGGACAAGAATCACTCACATCCAAAACTGTAATTATTGCCACTAAATATTTCTGTAGCTACTTTTCTAGAGACATGATGTATCGTACCTTACTCATCCCAAGCGGAAGGCATCAAACACAAACAAAAACAAAGACACTAAAAACAAATAATTAAGTCAATAGAGGAAACACAATCTATTTTAGTTACAATGCAAAATAAAACACTTCGGAATTACCAACAGGAACAAATACGCTACGGCCTGAGAGATTTTTGTTCTTGCCAAATCACTCATTAACAAGCCCATGGAACGAGTTCAAATTTTCTAAAAATGTCTCATTTGTGAATCCTGGTTCCGCTTCTACTCAGAAAGGACATGTCTTTTTGTTGTCCAAACCCCACAAAACTTGATGCCAACGTTGATTATGATTTTTAAATTAAAAAGTGTTCCCTGGGATGAAACAGGTCACAGCTCTGCTCTACCCCAGAGGCTGAGCGAGCAGAGGTCTCTACCCGCCTCCGCCCCCACGGTACCTGTCAAACAGGTGCGTGCGGGTCGAGTTGATGGCTCTGTCCACAGTCGCAATAGCTTCAACAATCGATGTGGCCACAAACGGGTCCCCATTTCGACTGACGTCAGGAACTGGGAAAACATGAAGTCGTTCGTTACGTCACCGCGTTACTCAGGCGTCTGGCTGCTTGCTCCTTCCCCGCCAGATGCCTCCCACCAGAGCAGCCCGGGTGTGGCTGCCAGTCAGCGGATGGCACCCACGGTGCCAGGCCCCGTCCACCATCGGCAGGCCTGTCAGATCTGCGGCGTGGCATCACCGGCTCTGAGGCTGGCGGCCACCGTCCTCACCTCCTCCCCCACACCTCACCGTCCCTTACGGCCAACACCACCGTTGAGGAGAGCAGCCGGCTCACAGATCCCCTGCTCAGAACTTTCCGGTGGCTTCCAACATACATGGAATAAATACCAAACCATGGCCAACAAGGCCCCAGACCAGCCTGGCCTCCCCGATTCCTCCACTGGCCTCCAGCTTTCGGCTCATCCCGACCTCAGGCTTCACACTGGCCATGCCACGTGGCTCTACATCTCAGAATTTGCTTGTTCGGCGTGGTCCTCTCTGACGGCCTCCCCCCAACCCCAACTCTCAGGGTCGGATCACTATTCCAGCCTGTTTCTCATCCTTGTCCACCACCATCTCTGCGCTGAACCGGAAGGTGCCGTCTGACTCACCCCTCGGGCCCCCAACACCCCCTGATGCCCAGCCCTGCACATGTGGGAGTGGCAGCCCTGCACAGAGCCAGGTGCAGCCACCCCTGCGTACTCCACAGACCCGGCCCACTCACCGCTGTTGGCGGGCCCCTCCACACGTCTGAAACATGGCCCAATGGCCTTTCCCCCGGCACAACCCCCACCTCTGTGTGTCTCAAACGGGGCCAAATGTACTAATTTTTGGAACCTAATACTTTTATGCTAAGTGGTAGACAAATGGATCAGATAATTTTACACAATTTTATGACTCCAATATTTCATTATTATGCATGACTTGGATTTGTTGTTCTCTAAACAACGATCACAAAAATAATTTGAAAACATTAACCTATCTTTAGAAGAAATAAAGGAAATTCACCAAAATGTTAATAGAAATTATTGCTTGGAGGTGGGATTGTGGGTAGGAGATTATTTTTAAATCTCATATATATGACTAAATTCACATCAAAGTAACATTGTTTTTAGGTGTCAAAAATTGTCTTTCAAAAAACAAAAAGTTATAGAATTCATAAACTGAATTTTACATCCATTTCACACACCCTATATAATGGGAAAATAACATCTTTCCCTAAAAAAGAAACCCAAAACCAGGCTCCCAGTTATGCCCTTATGGTTCCCATCTGGTAAGTGCTTCAGGCACTGGGGAGGGTGCTGGGCGCACAGACCAAGCAGACCCCGCCCCACCTGCGGTGCTCACAAGCCTGTGGGAAGGCGGGTGGGTGAGCTGTGGTGGGAAAGGCAGAAGCGCAGACCCAGGCGTGGACACTCAGGACGGGCCGCCCAGAAGGCGCAGGAAAGCTCGAGGGGGCGTGCGTGGGATGCAGGGTTCACCCACAGCACGTGGGAAGCATTAGCGACACGTCACAGGACCTGCCCTTTCAGGAGGATGGCTGTGCAGACAGAGCAGCTGAAGGAGGCAGGTGAGGGGCAGACGCAGATGCTGGACCAGCGTGTTGCCAGGGTACAGGGCAGGGAGCTGCCCCTGATTAAAGACACTCATCCCGGGAAGACGTGGGGCCCCATCCGGAGCAAGAGTGAGCACAGCAGAGGGGCACCGGCTCATTCAAACACACGCCTGCCAAATGAGGACCGCAAATTACACACTGTCGAATTTGAGCTGGTTTGGAAGATGGCCATGCCAACCACTAAACCCTGCCCACGGAGAGCCTTGATCACAGGGCATGTGACCACATGGCCACATGTGGCCACAGGGACACATGGCCTGCAGTCCCGGGGCGGCAGCAGGAGTGTGGGATGCCGGGGCCCTGGCGTGTCCGCCCGCCAGCCAGGGACGCGCTGCCTTCTGAGAATCAGATGGTGGGTCTGCAAGTGCCCTGGGCCAGGCGCCCCCTCCCGCCTGTGAGCCCACACCGGGGAATGTCCACACGGGCCACAGGGACTCACCGCTCACGCTGAGCACCATGCTGACGGAGGCCTGCCCGATGGTGTTCCGGGCCACGCACTCATAGCGGCCTGCATCCCCCGTCCCGACATCGTGGATGGTCAGGAACCCCTCGGCGCTAATGTGAAATTTCCCACTTTCCGTCACCTGAACCCCATCCTGGAGCAAAGCAGAACAGGAATGATCCTAGAAACAAGTCCCAGAGGCAGAAGTTGTTTGCCCTGGGGGTGGAGGGACCACTCTCAGCCCTCACAGATAGACTTGGCCTAGAGGCTATGCTCAGATCTACACAGAACTGGAGAGAAGAGGAGATTTGGTCCAACTTACTGAGAGGAACTTTTTTAAGCTCTTGTGAAAGATCCAGAAAAGATTAAGACAGAGACTGAGTCCCTCGGATTCCTCAGGATCGGGGGTTGGGGGCACACAGTCCCCCGTGGGATGCGCACAACGGTGGGGAAGGCGCAGCACGCGGGCACCCAGGGATGGAGAAGGGCCCTGGGCAAGGTCTTCTGGGAAACAGGACACCTGAGCCACACCTGACAAGGGCAGGCGACAGGCCTGGCCGAGGAAGGACAAGAGCAAGCCCACCAGGACAGCGAGACGGCCACACGTGGTCCCGGCAGGTGAGATCTGGGCAGTGGGGCGATGCGGGAGAGGGCCAGGGTGTCCCCCGGAACTCAAACCTCCCTGTGGGGGCCCCCTGCCTGTGGCCACCCTGTCCTCCAGGGACACATGTCCTGTCGAGACCCTTGTTCATAATGGCTAAACACCGGGATGAAATTTTCTATTGGGCTTCACAAAAGCAACCCAGAAAAATGGAACAACAAAAAACCTTCTCCATTGACGATGGAACCATGGATCTAACCGAAGGATTTTCATTGCTTTGTCACCAAGAAGAACGTGAAAAGGAGAATGCGGGTTTGTTTGCTTCTGGTTTTGTTAGTAGGGATCCCTCAGCATCGTTTAACTCGGGCTGTGGTGGGGATGCTTTCTCCGCTCTAGACGGTGCGGAGAAGCCGCGGCTGGCAGGCACCTGCCACACCCGTGCCCCGCCCCCCGCGGGCGGTACCTTGTTCCAGGTGATGACGGGCTCGGGCTCCCCCTGGGAGCTGCAGGGGAGCTGCACGTTGGTGCCCACCTCCACCGTCATGTCGCTTGGAATGCTGGCAAACACCGGCGTGACTGCAAAGCAAGGGACACCGAGCTGACCGAGGAGGAGAACCCGGGACACTCATTCCTAAGAGCACAGGCCCCTCGTCCTCAGCCAGGACAGGCCCAGGGCACTCTCAGCCGGCATTGGGCCCTCCCTCTGCCTCCCAGCTCGGTCTGCACAGAGCAAAGGGGCGGAGGGAAGGGGAGATGGTCTGCCGGCTGCCCGCCCTCCACCTGAGGGGCCGGATCTCAAGAGCAGACCGCAAGCCCTCACCAGCTCCTGTCGTGAGCAGTGAGCACGGGCTACCAAAGGCCCGCCTTTCCCAAAAGCAGGTCTGCACAAAGCAGTCTGTCCACCAGGAGGGGCCAGCGCCGCGTACCTCTGGGCTGCACGGTCAGGTGGGCCACGGCCCTCTGGGAGCCAATGATGTTGACGGCCTGGCACTCATACTGGCCCTGGTCGTGCAGAGCCACAGCCGAGATCCGGAGCGTTCCCGATGAGAGTACCAGATGCCGCCTGTCCACGGACAGCTGGCTCCCTGAAAGGCACGGACGCACAGTGGGCCGCTTGGACTCAGGAAGGCTGGGTGGAGCAGAACTTTCTTGGAGCAAACAGAACAGTGGGACGGACTGGTCTCCGCCCGAGTCCGGGGTGGCAGGGCTCTGCACCTCCCGAGTGACATTCCCGACCAGCTGGGAATGGCCAGGTCAGGGACAAACAGAGCCGCCCTGCCTCTTAGAAACTCCCCAGAAGCGGGAGGAGCAGATAAGAGAGAGATGCAGGAGCCAGGACACAGGGGGCCGTTGGGGAGGGACTGCTGGGGAGGGGCCGGGGGCTGGAGTTACGCAAAAGCACAGGACACCCCACTGAGGTGCTAGCACACGGCCCCTCCTGCCTGGGGACGTGGAAGTCCAGGTGCTAGGTGCTCACGCACCTGCCCACGCAGGGTGCTCACTCCTCAGGGGAGGAAGGCAGGGAGCGGCCCTCTGGTTCAAGGCAGAGCCCCTGGGCAGGTCCTCAAGGTCAATTCCAGGACAGAGCCCTGAGGCCACCTCCCCTCCCCTCCCCTAGACCTTCGCCCTCGGGGAAGTCTGTCTTCATCGTCATCTGACCAGGGGCTCACCAGCTGGAGCAGGATGGTTGCGGGGGGATCACCCCCTGAGAATCAATGTGATCAGCCGTCTGACCTCGCGTGGAGACGGCGTGACAGCCCCAGAGAATGAAGTGACACTGAGCTTCAAACAAATGCTATGACAGTTTCCAGAAAGTTCTATCCTACCTGCTATGAAATTTCATCAAGATGCTAATAAAGTGTGCACTAAAGGCAAGACAGCCACCATCTGGGAGGCGAGGGAGACAGAAGGCAGAGGCCACCCGCATCCTCGGGAAGGACAGTCTCCTCTGCGTGTCCTGCACCGTAGCCGTGGGCAAGGCCTGCAGCCGGAACACGCAGACACGACCGTCCCCACCCCTGCTCACGGGGGCTGGGGCCTGGGCAGAGGGCAGGCAGACTCGCCCCCGAGTGTGGAGCGCATCCCCGCAGATGCCGGGCTGGCTCTCACCTCCTTTCGTCCACGCGATGACCGGCTGTGGGTAGCCCTTGGCCTCACACTGGAAATCGACTGTTTGACCCTCGATAACAGCTCTGTCTGCAGGCGTCACGGTGAACTGGGGAAGAGCTTCCGGAAGGAAAAACATCGGAAACAACATTTCAAAGACAGTTTTGGGTAAAAATGCTGGAAGCTAGCGTCAGCGCTCCCTGTGGGTGCCAGTGCACCAAGAAGCCGCGCGGCAGGGGGAGTGTCGGCGAGCAGGGGGCCGAGGACAGGAAAGGGCACAACGGCAGTCAAACAGCGGTGTTTCCCGGCCCCCTGCCGGGGCCTCTGTGAGGTCGACGCGGCTGCGGGCTGCACCGCATGGACGGCGTGGATGGAGGGGATGGTGTCCGGCTTCCACCCGCAGCGGTCAGGAGACCCGAAGGTCCCTCTGGCTGTCGGACCTCAGGCAGCACCTGGAAGTGGGTAAGTGTCACGCAACAGCCGTGTGGGGATGGGGCTGCTTCATCACCACTGGGCAGAGTCACAGCCCCAAATCCAGATCGATCCCATCTGTACAGAAGGAACGACCACACAGGCCAGGGCCGCGTGCTCATGTGTGCGAAGGGGCCAGTAGGAGGGACTCACAACAGACTGCTCGTGAGGCCGCTTCCCTGCAGGCGGGAGGGGCCGGCGAAGACAGAGAAGTAGGGGAACACTGATTTCTCCATAGTTCGCACTTTGCTGTTTAGAGCTTCCACACAAACGCCCCACTTTGCAATTTATTTCTAAACTAAGAAGCTCACTATGGAGTCGCCTGGGACATTTGGAAATGCCCAGCTGAGGTCTCAACACCACAGGTTCTCTCAGCCACAGATAACAGCCAGAAATAAAACCCCAAAATAGAAGCCTCCTGAAGCCTCCATTCAGAAAACAAACCTACCACCAAGTCGAGAAGGGAGATGTGGGAAGCGTGTTGGAAACATAAAGCAACTTGCCGGCGCAGGGTGGGGACGGCGGGAGGGGTGGGGTCTGTGCAGGGAGGGCTGCCGGGCGAGGGTCTGCACGTGTGCACGGACGGACGGGCGCCCTGACCCACCCTGGACGATGATCAGAGCCGCGGCGTGGATGCTGTCCACGCTGTTGGATGCGAAGCAGGTATACTCCCCACTGTCGCCCTGCAGGACGTTCTGTATGTAGAGGCCGCCAGACGGGGTGATGCTCACGCGAGGGTCCTCGGGCAGGGGCGTGCGGTCCCCTTTGGTCCAGGTGATCCGCGGCGGAGGGTGGCCCGTGGCGCTGCACTCCAAGGTGACACTCTCCCCGACCAGCACCTCCGTGTTCTGTGGCTGGATTACAAAAGCGGGTCGAGCTGTCACAACGAAACACAAGTTCTGCGTTAATTCCCTCCAGGTCAGCAACGGCATTTTGCTTGGGTTGTTCTATCTTCGTTCCGTCTGCGGCCCTTAAAGTAAGTAAAGCAAACACGACTGAATCAGAACACGCTCTCATTTTCTTTCCCGTGTCAGAAATTGTGCCAGCAGCGAGGGTGAGCGTGGCTCCCTCAGTGTGGCCTGAGCCCCAGGGAGAACCCCCACTTCTGTTGATTCTAAGTACATCGGGTCAGTCTGGTCAGACCTGGCTAAAGGTTCTTCCTGGCTTAAAACACTGCTTTTAAACTATATTTAGAACATATAAAAATAAGCAATTTCCCTCCCCAAACCAAAAATATAAATTAAAACTACACTAAGATAGTACTTTGCAGCTCTGACTCCAAAAGAAAAATCCACACCCTCAGTAATGCATTTTGTGAGGGAGTCTGTGCAGAACAGAACTCACTAGTGGGTGGTGTCCACGGCTGCCGTCCCCACTGCGGGCCGGCTCGGACGCGCACGTCAGGACTGCCGCGGTCCATGCACCCTTTCACCCAGAAGTTACTCTGCTAGGAGCTTACAAACAAGAAAAGCAATGTATGTACTCAAAAAGGGAGGTTTTTAAAACATTCCTGTGATGCGTATTCAGGCCGACACCCTTCTTCCCCAATTCTAGAATCCAGAAATGCTCCTAAAATAAAATACTCTTTCATCACTTATTTATAAAACTGGATCTATCTGGCATGAGGTGTTTACAGTCTTCACTTATCCCACATGCTGTGACTATTCACACAGTTCGCCGTGGACGCTGACAACAGGGTGGGACCTGGGACCCCGCGGCAGCGCCAGGCGGCTCAGCAGACCATGCACCAGGTGGCCTGCTGAAATTTCCCAGATTTCTGATTTCCAAACGATAGCAGACCCAAGAGGTTTTGCATAAAGGGACACGGACCTGAAATAGCAAAAGAATTGGGGGGAAAACCCTCCGGTATTCCTGCTAAAGAACCAGTTAAATAGATCACATTCCCACCAGGTAATGACTCCCACGTGGCACTGAAAGGAAAGTGTAAGAGAAGCCGTCATGTACTGAAGACCAGTGAGGCAGGGATGAAGAAGGAGGCACTGGCTGGAATTTGGGAGAGTGGGGATGGAGGCAGAAATTTAGTGGGTGAGGCAAGAAGCAGGAAAGGTACATTTCTGCGTCTTTCATGTTGGTTAACGTTGAAGCTCCGTTACCCACCTATCTACAGAAGAGCAGAGGATAGGAAATGCAGAAATGATCCTAATACTAGCATTTCCGGAGAATGGCAAGCTACAGCATGAAGCCGTTTGCAGGGACAAAAACCCCAACGTCAAAGCCCACCGGGAGGGCACGTGAGAAGCAGTGTCACGACAGGCCAAGGCGAGGCCCAACACGACGCCACCCAGAAAGCTCCGAGTCTGGCTGACCCACGAGCTGCCCCTCGGTGACAGGCAGCCAAGATCAGTGGAGGGAGAAGTGAATCTCACTCCAGGCTTTGTCAACCGAAAGCTTGTCCTCGCGTGGGGATGCTGCCTGACCCCCACGCCACTGGGCGGAAAAGACGTGGCGCCACGGAACAGCAGAGACGCAGAAAGAAACAACAGGATTCGCAAGTGGGAAAGACATCACGGCCAGGCGCTAATGATTGCGTTTCACACACTGGGAAAACAGAATTCAGCCTATTTTGGACACAGCGGTAGGGGGTAACTTTGACTCCGATAACCTAAGAACGCAGTAGGCCAACGACCAACACAAAGGACGCTGGGTGACTTCCAAACTGGAAGCGGGAAATGGAAGAAGGACGATAATTATGCCAAAGGAAGGCTTGGAACTCAGAAAAGACTGGACAAACAGTCTCAAGTAAGATGCAGAACGTGCAAATCTAAACATACTGCCACGGCAACAAATACAAATGGACTCCTTCAAGAAAATGTCAGTCCGTGTATTTTTTTCTTAAAAAGCAGAGCAAAGGTTGTGGGTCACCTAGTACCACGCCTGCAAGGCTGTGGCTGAGAGTGCTTGGCTGTAGATCACTGCACCCGTGTCCCACCCACATCCCGCCCGCGTTCCTACCCTGCTGGGCACGGGGAGCAAGGGCCGTTCTGGGGGAGCCTCGTGCGCCATCCTCTGCACGTACCTGGAGACCCAAAGTACCTGAGGGTGACCTCCTGTGTCTTCACCTGCCCGGCCACATTTTTGGCCATGCACTGGTAAATCCCCTGGTCCGTCTCCTGTGTGTTTTGGATCATCAAGGTCCCGTCGTCCAGCAAGTTGAGGCGGGAATCTGTCTTCATGCTCAGCTCATTACTACAAAGACAGAAGTCTGGTGCTCAGGTTCTTGAAGCATGAGGACACACCAGAACCACACAGGAAGAGCCCCTGAGCACCTGGCACCTGGGGGCGGGGGGGACAGCACTTGGCCTGTCCAGGAAACTGTCCTCCCACACAGACTCTGGCTTAGTACTTCTAGAAAAAGTGCTGACCCACCACATCTCTAATTCATCAACTTACTTTATTACTTATGTGTTCAATCTATAAGATTTTAAAGTTTTAAAGTAGTCCTCTTGCCAAAGGGGAATAAGAAACATAGTGGGAAAAATTCAAAGGAAACATTTTCCTTGGTTTCTGGCAAATTCATTCAAGATAATGGGGCAGGCCCACAGGTGAGACTGACCAACAGGTGAGGCAGACCCCCAGGTGAGGCAGGTCAGCAGGTGAGGCAGGCCCCCAGGTGAGGCAGGCCCCAGGTGAGGCAGGTCAGCAGGTGAGGCAGGCCCCCAGGTGAGCCAGGCCCCCAGGTGAGGCAGGCCCCCAGGTGAGGCAGGCCCCCGGGTGAGCCAGGCCCCCGGGTGAGGCAGGCCCCCAGGTGAGCCAGGCCCCAAGGTGAGGCAGGCCCACAGGTGAGGCAGACCTACAGGTGAGGCAGACCTACCCCCAGGTGAGGCAGGCCCCCAGGTGAGCCAGGCCCACAGAGAGGCTGGCAAGTGGAGGGAGAGCCTGGCACCAGACTTCAGGCCCAGAGCTTTTGGGCTTTCCCTCTGCCATGTTTGGCTCTGACATTTTAACTTCTGCGATCAACGTGTTTATTTATGAAAGCAGATGTAAAGGGCTCAGCCAAATCGATGCTTTTCTGCCTTTTAAATACATACTTATTCCTCCCCTGTTAACTCCGGATTTTAAATCTCAACAGTCCGGAGTCATCCAAGGTAACAGGTCATCTGAAGGCTGGGCCAGCGTCTGTCCGTCCCTGCGCGGCGCTGGGCCCAGGTCATGGCCACAACCCCAGGCAGGAAGGTGTCTTCCCCTCCTGCACCTGATGGCTCCCGATGCCAAGTTCCCTGTTCCACTCCTCTCCTCTGGGAGCGCTGCTGGACTCACCAGCCCAGCACTGGGCGGGACAATGGCTGGGGGGGGGCATCCTCCTCACCCGGTCATGACCAAACACGGCCCGCGAGCTCAGAGTGTAAGTGCTAAGAGCCGAGATCCACCGACAAGCGGGTGTCTGTCCGTGTCCCCGTGAGAACGGGGACAGGAGCCACGACAAGGTGCTTTCGGGTTAACAATTTCTTTCTGAGTCAGTTCTCACCGTACGCCCCAAAGTGTCCTCGTTAACATGGGGCCCTTGGGGGGCTGACCCCTGAAGCACCCTCCTCCTAACCTCTGCCCCCACACACCTAAAATGCTTGTGGATCAACGGGGAGACTTGTGTTTCCTGAGGCAAATCAGATGCACAAGGAGCTAAGTACGTTAAGTGTTGGCTTGATGGGCGTCCCTGAAGATGCTGTCCCCAGCAGGAAGGACCCCTCCTTAGCCAGGAGGACTGGTCCCAGTGTTCCAGCTGCGGATCCCCAGTGCCCAGACCCGCCAGGTCCCGGCCACAGAACGTGGGCAGGTTAAGAACCAAGATGCTCCCCCACTCCTCACCCCTGGCAGGGGGAGCAACGTGCCCCCGCTTTACAGCAGCAAAGATGCAGAAAATTCTCTCCTTTAGACCTTTCCCTCCGCAGCAGAGGACAAAAGTGTCCAGGGGCATCTGCAGGTGTCGGGGTGGGGCCGTGCACAGCAGACCCGACGGCATCTGGGGGTACAGGGAGCACGCGTGGCCAGCACCTGACTTACTTGTTTCGCAGCCAGATGATCTCGGGCTTGGGGTTGCCTTCTGCTCTGCATGTGAAGAACACAGTGTTCCCTGAGGTGACGTCTGCATCCTGGGGCTCCGATGTGATCCGGGGCCTTTCTGTGCCAAGAAGGAAATGGAGATCTTCTGGGTCTTAAATAGTCCCATAAAAGTAAACAAGACCCCAAACCAAATCCCTCACATTCAAGAGAAAATCCCAAACAAACATGTATTCCGAGCACAAATGCTCCCACAAGAAGGACAGACAGGCTTCTCCGCACAGACAGCTGAGTCCTTACCCAGCATTTTCTGACCCTCAGATCCACCTCTAAGAGCCTGGGTGGTGACACGCACCCAACAAGGCCCCAGTGATTGCTCACCCTTCAAGAGGGTGAGCGACCTATGTGCACGGCGCACTCCGTGAAAAGCTGTTCTTGAGTAAATGGGAAATGATGCTTTTTAGCTACAGCAACGCTGAGAGCAGAAAGCTCTACCATGCAGGGCAGGGCAGCAGAGCCCTTGTCCCTCATCCCCCGGGGATGCAGGCCCCTCCTACGGCCCGGGCCAGACAAGCTGCCTCCTCCAGTCTGCGGACTGGTGGGTGCTGCCCATTCTCCTTCTCCACGACCACAGTGCGGGGAGGCAGACAGAACACTGGCAGCGCCCGAGCCTGGTCCCGATGGGTAAAGTCAGAGGCGGCTGGTGAGTGGAAGCCCGGGTGGCTTGTGCCCCAGAGAAGGGAGCGGACACCAGACGAGGGCACCCAGGGCTGGCCCGGGGGAATCTGCCGTGTGGGGCAGGTTTAGACTCGGGGGTGGCTGAGCGCACAGCCCCGGCCTCTGTCCCAGGAACCAGTCCTGTCCCCGAAGCCCCACCGCCCAGTACCGCTGCTCCTGCGCAGCATGGCCCCCGACAGCCGGAGACCCGGCGTGCCCAGCAGCAGGATGGGCTCACGCAGCACAGGGCCCCTGACAGCACGCCCCGAAGCAGCTGCGTGCACAGTGAAGCACACATGTCTATGGTTGATGAAGGAATCCAGATGCGGACGGGAGAGCCGTGTCCCGGGCGGGAGACTGCTGAAAACTACAGACTTCTAGCTTCTAGGACACAGACCTTTAAGACTTAAAAACGATGATACTTTAGAGAAACTAATTTTAGCACCCCCAAAATGTTCTGCAATGAAAAGAATACGCAAAGGAGTCCTCGGGCACTCTAAGCAAGATTCTGCCCTGCTGTTGGATTTTGCTCCTTTTCTCGTGACCAGTTGCTCGGTGCAGCCCGTGGGCACGGCCCAGTGGGCAGAGGTTCTGGGCGGCATGGACCGAGCCCAGAGGCAGACCACTGCCAGCCCCACCGGCCCAGCCCCGCCCCGCCCCACGAGCACCCGGGAGTCGGGCCCAGCAGCTGCGGCCGTGGGGGAAGCGGGAGACACAGTGCGTTCCGGGAACTGGAAACAAAAGCTGAGGAAACCAACAGTTGCTTACAGTTGCTCGTAAAGATCGCGGCTTTGCCAAGGAGTATCCTGTCGGGTCCCACCAAGACGCGATCTGGGGACACCGAACCGGAAGGCAGGCCAGGCCGTGCCGCGCCCTCTGGATGACTCCCTCCGTCCTGCTCACTCACCACAGTCCAGCTCTTCGGGGGTGATGGTGGCCACCGAGCGCCCCTGGATGCGTCGAGGATATTCACAGGTGGCCGCCGCCTGCGCATTCCCCGACTGGGCGTAGGTCTTCAGCAGATCCGCCAGCCACAGGATTTCACAGTCACAGTGAAGCGCGTTGGAGTCCAGCCGCCTGACGGAGGAAGACAGCAAAACGTGGGGTCGAGCAGGCCCAGCCCCCCGCACACGGGCCCACGCAACTCTGGCCCCACATCGCCGTTCCCAGTGCGGCGGCTGACGGCCTAATCAGAAGGAATCCTGAACAGCGAGGAAGGCTGTCTCAGTTCCCTGTATCCTGCGTGAAACTCCACTTCCTAGCCTGGTTCTCCACTTCCTGACATCGAACCCCTGGCCTCAGGGATGGGGACATGGATGGGCACGGATGGCCGGCCGCAGAGCAGCCCCGCGGCCACGGGGCAAGGCACAGGAAGCACCGGAAGGCGTCCGTTAACTCCCTCCACCAGCACTCACATACCTTTATTCTAGTGAAGTTAAGTACTCAGCATAAGAAATATTTTTAGAGGCCTGGAGACTTTGGAGGCCAGTGTACTTAACGTCTAGCTGTGGGAACACTTAATACAGGGAACAGGATAGAGTCCTTCTCCGAGGATCTTAATCCCACCACTAAAATAGGCAAAATGGGATTAAAAATTAATCTGAAGAATTTAAAACTGACTTTAACAATGTCTTGCTCGCCTATGAAAGGGTCGATCTGCTAGCACAGTCCCCGAGTCCCCGGGGCTCCGAGCTGCACCCGCTCCACGGGTTCAGGGCCTCCTGCCCCTTCCTGAGAGGGACCCACGCTCCATAGCCCAGCATGGGACTGGCTGACGGCCGCGCGGACACGGGGCTGCGCTGAACACATACTCACAGTCTTTTCATGGATTCCAAGTGATCGAATGTTCCTGGAACCAAATGTGTGATTCGGTTGTTATGTAAAAATCTGTTGAAAGAGATAATACAACAAACCAATTTTTAAAAAATGCTTCTTACATGTGTAGAAAAGAGTATCAACAGTCAAAATAAATCAGCTTTTAAAAAATTACTCAGTGATTGCATTATTTCATACAAATGAATCTGAGAATGTTATTTAGCCCAGAAAAGAACTAGGGTTTTTTTTCTATTTTATCACCATTCCCAAAGAGACAATTGTCAGTCCCGCCTCTGAATTGTGAGACAAGGAGCAGGGACTTTGCACGGCCAGTTCTCGAAGGCTTGAACAGACTGTGGCCTCCTCTCCTGCAGAACCTGGACGGGGCGACGGCCCAGGACCACGGGTGGACACGGGCGGGCGGGAGGAAATGCAACTTACAGCCTTTCTAGCTTCGGCAAATGTCGGAATGACTCTGGGTCCAGAGTTTCTATCTGATTAAAGTGCAGATATCTAGACAAGTATAAAAAAAGAGAGAGAGAGAAGAAAGAGATTTTAAACAGTTTTACTTTTTGCAGATCTAGATTTCCTGCTCAAAAAAATGTTTCCTAAATCCTTTCAAATTCGTATGTCAATAACTCTCTAGATTTCCTACATTGTGTGGAAAACAAGTGAAATCATCAAATAGTAAGATTAAATACAATTAAAAACGGCACAGACCGTATGACTGACCGGTTGTCGGTGACTCTGACCAAGGCCCCTCCACGCCCGGGGCCTGACCGCGTGGCCGTGACCTCCGTGCAGTATGTGGGCCTTTGCAGGAAAAAAGTCCATGTAACCTTCCCTACAGCACACAGGTAAGTAGACGAATACCTTCATTCAATCTTCTAACCTCTATGTGAATTTCTGGGGGGATGAACTTACACTTAAATTTCAGACTGAGCATAGGATTAACCACAGAAATGATGAAGAGTAAGATCCTGTGTTTCCTCAAATGTGCTCAATTATACGGAATATACAGCATTCACACTTCTTTTGCTATGTTTCCTCACTTTCCATATATTCATACATATTTCGGTACAACTAATTTCTCCTCATTTTCCTGAATATTGCTTTTCTCACTGTGAAAATCGGTGTTTTTCCCCTCAGGTGAAACAATGGACACTGACTTGGACGTGGCCTCGTGATGGGGATGCTTCTGCAGTGAACCCCCCACCCACACGAGGAGAAGAGAGGTCTCCGCCCTCCACGGCTCGCTCGCGTGGGGCCCAGCAGAGAGACAGGGACAGACTCGAGAGATTACAGGTTTCATCACGAACCCAAACACCAGACAGAAAGCCTTCTCAAAACGCACCCTGGACCCCTCAGAGACCTTCACTAACGTTGAAGTTACTGGAACTTCAAGGTCACCCAAGTTCATTTGCCCTTCCTAGCCCATTGTTGTCTCCCTGGCCCAGCTCCCCGAGAGGGCGCCGCGATGACCCTGAGTCGGGAGGTTGCAGAGCCCACAGAGCTCAGGTCAGACCCACACTTGCCTCCCGTGCCTCCCGGAGACAGGTCCCTGCCCATCGACCTCCACTCCAGGGTGGGAAGCCTGGGAGCAGGGTGCACGGGAGCCCGAACGGGGGAAAATCCGCACTCAGCGGCCGTCACGGGAGAAGCCTGAAGGAGACCCTCGTTAGCAGGCAGGCTGGGCCCTGGGGAGGCGTCCGGGAGGAGGGAGGAGGAGGGAGGGCCTGCTGGTCCTAATTCACTGAGGCTTGTTCCTGTTGCTCACAGACACAGGGCTGGGCCCGTGAGCTCAGGCCAAGAAAGTTCCCACAGCTCCAGGCAGCCTGGGTGCCACCACCCTCCCACGGCCCCAAGGTGGCCGTGGGTCCCAATGCCAATCTACGCTCTCTGACTCTGGTCACGTGTTCACCACAAAGGAAGAGGAGGGCCTCCCAGGAGCCCGCTGGAGCCCAGGCTCCACCGACTCCTGGCAGCTTTGGGCTGGCAGCCTCTGGAGGGTGTGGAGGGGCTCCTGGCGTGGGGAGGAGGAGCCCGGGCAGGAGCCACCCCCCGGGCCACGGCACCATGCACACCCACCAGGAACAGCCTCATCTCCTCACACAGCACCCTCCCTGCGGGCGGGGACCTGGTCCTAAGTGTTTCTGCGTCCGGTCAGACACTCACTGACATTCACGGAAGGAGAGCCACATCTCCGTGGCCCAGACCCTAACTACCTAACCCAGGGTTTTGAAGGCATCCTACCCAGGATGCTTAGTCAGACACCCTGCTCCAGGCTCCTGATGCAATGGAGCCTCACTTCTCCCCAGACTCTGCCTCTTTCCTCCTCAAAGATAAATTGACTCCTGCCCCGTCAGGGTGAGCACCATCTGGTTCTAATTTTTTTCAGCACGTTTAAATCAGACACGGTTTTCTGGGTGTTGGCTATGATTATCTTACTGCCCCCACCCCAGGAGAAGCGTGTCACATGCAAGAACTCTGTCCTTCGTAGACTCTACGTCCACCTGAATGTTTTCCAGACACTCCCATGTGTTTCTGCAACCCTGTGAACTCTTTGGTCCTCTCCGAAGCAGATCATACAAACCTGACGTACAACTGTTTCCCAGTCCTACTGCACGCCATGCACAGTGAGCTCAGCAAAGCAGGTCCCACTGGAATAAAGACCCACCTAGACCCACGAGCATCGTCTGTGCTTCCGAAGCGCCTGGTTTCAGGGGGAGCCCCAGCTCTGCCATTGCGCCTCCGGAGACGCTTCTGTGCCCGGCCAGGAAATACGCAGATAGATGTCAGGACGCGTCACAGTCAACGGCCCTGTCCAGCCCCGTGACCGTAACCGGATGGCCATCTGAAACTCCTCGGAACCACTTCAGCCCGAACAAACCAGAAAAACTCTTACCGGGAATTCTACTCAAAAATGAACATGCTGACTTCATATGCCGCCAAAGAAACAACATCCAACATACACTAACTAGAAACACACGAAAAAAAGTTCATTTTCTCCAGAATAACGACATAAAAGCAGAAAGTAAGCTGGATGTGTGGGGAGTCACAAACAGGAAACAGGGTACAATGAAAACAACCTGCTCGTCCCACACTGCCCGGGGTACCCCTCCCCAAAGACCTTTCCTCGTTCGCAAGTCTGTCTCTGCTTTACAAAGGGAGCACCATGGAGGTGGGGGCCGCTCGGTCTCACTGTTCTCTGGGCCACGGATGCTCGGCATGGGCTGCCGTCAGCAGAAACCAGTGCCGTCCACTCCGGGGTGGAGGTGTCGGACAGAACCGCTCTTTCCGTTGGCATGCACACACGCCCTACGTCCCCATTAGTACAGACATGCATCATGCAAACAGCAAACTTAGTTCATCTTCCTACAAGAGGCAAAGGGCGGGTGGCATCCAAGACAGCCGAGGACGGGAGAGGGACACTTACAGTTGTTCTAGAGAGGCAAGTCCCTTAAATGCTTGCCTGTCAATTGACTGGATCTCATTCTTGTACAGATAGCTGAAACAAGAAACGGGGAGCATTAGCACACACACGAGAAGCCGCAACTTCAGATGGAAAGAAGAATTACGTTGACACATGGAGGGAGTTTTCAAATTAATGACTGTATTAGAATACAAACAAAACATTTACACGGCAGTGTGGCTCCCCTCTCAGAGGAGGTTCCCGGCCCTTCCTCAAAGGAAAGTCTCCAAACGGGAGGTTCTCCAACCACCGCCTTGTCTTCCAAAAAGTCACAGGCTCTGGAGTGTGGCTTGTGACTTGTTGACCATGCACTTGCTCCAAAGCTTGAAGGAAAGAGAACCACCTCCCCACACACGTGATGTGCATTGATTATAAGATTCCACAGCCTGGGTGTTTTAAGATACCCAGGAACAGTTGGGGGAGCAGACGATATGAAGCCTAAATGCGTTCTCACCCACCAGAATCCTTCTTGCAAAACAGAAGCAACAAGGGCAGGTCTGAAGAATCACAGAGTTGGCCCGCTGCCTTTTTTTATACGGTCTGTAAACTGAGAATGATAAAACCATTCATGGTTTTCAATGGCTGAAAATTTCAAAACTATTAGTTCATGACACGGGAAAATTATATGAAATCTAAACTTCAGAGTCCTAACAAACACGTCTCTGCGGCAGCAGATCTCGTGAACCCCGCCAACGTCGTGGTGCATCAGACGTGATTTCTGTGTCAGGTGCAGAGACGTGAGCCCTTGGCGCTTCTCCCCAGCCGATGACATCAAACTCCACGCCGTCCCCACCGTGACGTCAGCAGGCACTTCTCTGCACCCGACACTGGCCGGTTGGGCTTCCACCTATTTGCTCCCGCAAATATACCTGCTCTGTCTTAATGCCGTGCCCCTGCACGCTCCGTTCCCAGGACAGTGTGCACCACCGCACTTTAGCTCACGGTATTCGGGGCAGGCTTGTTTCACAGGACCCACTACACCGTCTCTAACTGCCACCATCCCGCTAAGTGGCTGTCACTTCTCCCTCTGCACAAATCAGCTGTGGTTTCCCCGCGGAGAGCTGCAAGCCTCGGCACGAACAGGCGGCTCTCGCCCACCGGTCCAGAGCCCAGTGCCCGCAACAGAGGCCTGACGCGGCAGGCACTTCGCCAGGCCGCATGAGTTTGAATCCTCCATCTGCACCCACTAGCTGTGTGCTCTTGAATCAAGCTTTCTGTGCCTCAGTCTCTTCCTGTGTAAAGTGGAGAGCGCAGGCCCTCAGAATCACCGAAATTTAGTAAGTATTTCGAAAGCTAAAAGAATACAGCCTGGCCACTGGCAACTTCAGTTCTGGAGGGAGCTCCTGCTCCCCCATTATTACAAACAGGGTTTCTGGGCTCATTTCTCTTAAAAAACAGGGCAATGGCCTACCGGTGCAGCGTCACTTGGCACACACTTTAAAGACAATGGGAGTGCAAGACAATTGAGCCCTGCTAATACGGAAGAATGTGTGTTTAGAGGACATGGGAGCACCCTCTGTCTTCGTAAGAATAAAGGGCACTGACCATCTTCCGATAATGGGTTCTAAAGAGTACTCTACCCCACTAGAGTCCACTTTGAACAGGAGGCCCCTCCCCGGACTTAATGGCATCCTTTGGAAATATCAGTTAAGGGGAAGGTTTATGCCTTCCCACAAGTAACTAGGGTTCCAGCACATAACCAGGACTCAACTTCTAAAAGCACGGACTAAATATAAAGGCAGAAATAATCAGTAAACTTCATGAGCGCTCTCAAATGTTTAAATTGCACACAATGCCCTCTCCTGCCGAGGGCGGGGATCAAATGGGGAAGTGGGACCCCTTCTCACCCCTGCTCCTGGGGTCCTCCTCACCAGGGCCCTTCCCCCCTGTCCTGCTGACCACTGCCCAACCCCTCCCCAGTGACCAGGTGCCCTCCACCAGTGGGCATCGTGGAAATGGGGGGAGGGCGGAGGGAGAGGCTGGAGCGCAGGTGCCTCGATGGGGAGCCAGCCAGCAGGCGAGGCTTATGAAGTATTACTTTAAAGAAATCATTTTAAGTGAAAAACGAGGTATCCCAAACTATTTCACACTAAATATGTTTGCGGGTTAAATAATAAGTTGCTCTTAATTAATTCAAGCCAAAAGCAAAATACAAAATAAAAAAAGTGACACACACACGAACCACAGATGCTGGTTATCATCTAACTGAACCTGCTTTCTAAGAAACCAAAACCTTTCTTCTGGAACTTGTATAGCACTTAAAATTTAAAAACAAAACAAATCAAATAAATAAAACTCAAGAATAAATAGAAGGCCTTTCCCTCATTTTTAAAATGAGCAACAAGGCCTAATAATTTTCATACGTTACTCTATTCTATTCTATTGTAAAAATTAACAAAGTATGCCAAAAATGATGGAAAAATATTTATACCTAACAGTTTCGATTACCTTCACTGAAGAATATATATTTCTATAAATACAGTTAAAGTGATCACTTAGTTAAGAACTAATGACATCTAAAATCATAGAGGTTTCAAAACACACATCTAACAATGTGACTTTATTTTAAAAATCAACATGACTTATAGACATTCAGGTTCACCTATGACATAAATTTCCCAAAAAAGTCACTGACCTAAATCCCTCATTAAAATGGTTCAAAAGTAAGAATAATTTGCTCAAAGCACAAGACACGTACTTTTATCTACAACCAGGAATGTAACTGGAATGTCTGCCTTATGGCTTCCAGTCCTAAAATAAGTGCTTGCAGAGGTATTCAGCTGGCACTTGCCCGCTAGGTCATCTTTTAACCTGCAAAACTCATGTTTTAAATGCTCAAGTAAATTAACTAAAATCAGTTTTAAAAAGCAAACTACAATTTTACTATCTAAAAATAAGAAGAGGTGAAATCACTCAGAGGAAGACTGGGAAATTAGCAGATGAGTGAAATTCTCACACTTCGCCCACAGCTGGAGAGGCCTCTGGAAACTGTGCTTCCATCTCCTGGCACGCCCACCTGGCGTGCACACCAGCGAGGGGCTGCCGGTCACCTGCCCCTGCACCACCTTCCAGGACTGTGGCTTTAATCTCATTCCACCTACCTTACTTACGGCTGAAGACACACACGCTAAGCATCACACAGCGAAGTTTTAACTCATTTTAACTCATTTTAAAAATCCCAGCCAAAAATTCAGTCACCTTCTGAAAATGTACCCTAAGAGATGGATGTATTTATATTAATTTGCAAGCTGCAAAAAATTCAGCTCAATGATTAAACAGTCTGTATACAAACAACACAAGCTTTTGGGGTAAAGGACTGATCGTTCACTTACAGATATTTTAAGTTCTCCAGGTCTTCGAATGCTCCGCTAGGTATGCTCTTGATCTGGTTATTGTTGAGAAGCCTACGAGAGAAAGTCTGAGTAAGAATTACAACCAGCACCCCTCTGAACCGCATTGTGGGAACACATTCCTACTGGTTGGAAAAGGTCGTAAGACAATTCAGGTACAGAGCTCAGCACCGACACTGGCCCACTGGCCGAGCGCTACATTCACACGGGAGCATTTCAGCGCTCACCCTGTGATGACGCATTTCCTCAGGGCACAGGCGTCCTGTCACCGCACACCAATCCCCTCCGTATGTGCACCGACCAAATTCCCTTTCCAACGCAAAGGAGTAGCTATCTGTCCTGCTGTCTGTCAGACTGTCCACCTCAGCTGAGTGGAAGGCCAGTGCAGGGTGGTCTCAGCAGGGTCGGACCACCCCCCAGGCTCCCAGGGCCCTGCCTATCCCCCTGTGCCCACAGCCGCCCTCCGGAGCAGAAGAACCAGAGACGCCAGCCTCCTGACAAGCTCAGGATACTCGGCAGCAGCCCAGGTCAGCCGCAGAACCTCCCAGCGCCAGTCAGGCCCATTCCCTTCGTCTGTCCACCCTTGAGGACTAAGCACGGGTGCACAACGGGATGGCGCCCCAAATCCTCCTGGGTCCAGCTACCCTGGAGAAGTGAAGGCCCCTCCACCATCCAATGGGGCGTGTGAACTAGTTAGCACTGGTGAATGGATCTGGCCTAGCTGGGGACTGAGTTACTCACAGGAAGAGAGGGGGATCACGTGGTCTTTGGTCTGGGTCACAGCCACTTATGAGGGACCCACACAGGTCCACGGATGTCAGCCAAAACAGGATGACGGCCAAGCACAGGATCCACAGGCTTGGCATCTTAATGTGCATATTCTGTTCTAGGGTCCCAAGTCCACTCTCCTCATTCATGCCCCTGACCACGGATGATCAAGGCTGACCACAGGTGAAAGGTGTGATGATTTCTACACTTGTTTCCTACCGGGTCCCAATAGAATGTTTGGACTTACAACGTATTCAAGTTTCTCAGCTTCCTGAATGCCCCAGGCTGGATCTCTCTGATTCTGTTAAAGCGAAGATCCCTGGGAACAAAAAAAACCAAAAAAACAAAAAACAAGAAATGCATTTATATAGAGAAACACGCAGTCACCACTGGTGCTGTGTCATCTCAGTTCCAGCACGACGATAAGACATTTAAGGAATTAAACCTCACAGCTCATTCGTTGGACCAATTATCTCTTCACTGAGGCTAACTGCATAAATGAATATTTATCTGCACGACAGGGCAGCTATATCACATCACAGAAGTTTGTTTAAACAACACCTACGGGGAGATAAAAGCTTACTCTAACCCTATACCCATCTTCTGCCAAACCTAAGGTCGTCAAGCCTTCCCCAGACATAGGATCGACCCACACATACTCCACGGAGTCGCCCCGGCACCCACTCCAATAACTTCTCGAGCTGGGATTCAGCGGTTCATCTGCGAACTGCCCACAGTGTCTTCTCAGGGAGGAGTTCAGACCCAATGTCTGTGAACTGGAAAGATCCACGCATGCAGCGTGGATCCTAACTCAGTACTTCCACACAGGCAGTTTAAATAGTTAAATGTGTGCTGGGAGAACAGTTCCTGATGTTTCGGGGACAGCGGGACAACCTGAGCAGCCCAGGAGAGGCCAGAGCCCGAGACCACGTCCACACGAGGCCGCCGGAGCCGTGGGGGAAGGGCAGGGCAGCTGGTGGGGCGGCCCCTCCGTGGGACAGGCGCAAGGCTCATCCCCGGGCCACGAGCTCCGGGGATAGAAGGCATGCAGATGTCCATTTCTACCCTCTGAATTAAAACCTATCAATTAAAGTAAAAAATACAAGATATATAAATTCAATTAAAACCTATAATTTAAATTTATAATTGTAATGTTTATGAAAGTCACAGAAAAGTAATGAAAGGCCACTTTCTTTACCACAGAGTTTTAGGAAAATTAAGATGCCTTGCTCACAGGCCCACCCCCGTGACACAGTGCAGCAGGATTATTGTGGGAGCAACCGGGAGACCCCCATTCACATGAAATCCGACTCCAGTGCCTCAGAATGGACCTGATTTGGAAACAGTGTTTGCAGAGATCAGCTATAGTCAAAACAAGACCAACACAGCCTGAGGACGGCCCTGCTCCAGTGTGAGTGGTGTCCTTAAAGGGGAAATCTGGAGACAGGCACACAGGGAGAGGGCCGCAAGAAGACTCCTGTGCTCCCACCACAAGCCAGCAAAGGCCGGGGATTGTGGGAGATGGGGCGGTTCTTGCCCAGCACCCCGGAAGGACCCAGGCCTTGATCTTGGGCCTTCTGCCTCCAGAGCTTCGAGCTGATGTGCTTCTGCGGGAGCTCCGTGCGTGGGGCTCGGCGCAGGCGTCCCAGGAAACCAACACAGGGCTCCTGGAGCAACATTTGGTCTAAATCAGGAATGACGCTTCTCTCCTGACATGTTCATGAACTTTTTAGGAATCTGATTATTTTGAGCCAATTTAACAGTCGTAAATGACTTACAGAATTGGTTCTAGTCTATGGTGCGATAAAAGGCTTTTCAGAAAGTATTTAAGTCGCTAAAATGAACTGTGTTGACTTAGAAGTGAGCAAATGAAACATGGAACATTGGGGCATCTGCTTCCTGGCTCTGGGTGGGGTTCTAGGGTAGCGGAGGCCCCAGGCATTAGTCACCACCTGCCCTGGGCAGCTGACCTGGCCCTCACCCCGGGGGGCTCCCACCCGTTCCCGAGAGCCACCAGCATGCTCTCCCGGGAACGCGCCTCCCCTGCACTGATGTGTGACTTTTAAGGAGAAATTGATCTACATGCACACTAAGAACATTGCAGGTGGGTCCACTGGGGAGGTGCTAAAGCCAGGTCCCCAAGGGGAGGGCAGGTGCGTCCAGAGGCCCCGTCCCCCATGTGGAATGTGGGGTCGTGGTTAATGAGCAAAGACTGGCTAGCTGGGCTTTAGTGTAAACACAGGTGGTGGGGAAGCTGTCTCCTCGCATGTAACAAACACAAGCTTTCCCAGGACTTGGACAGACGCCCTGGGGCCAACGTGGAGAAGGCGTGCCCTGGAACGTGAGGTGCCATGCGCCACACACAGCAGAACCGGTCGGGACATCATCCAACCAAGAAGCCAGGCCTCAAGTCCTCAGGAAGGACGGTGGCATGGGCTCACGTGGCTTCTGACGCCTCTGACACAGAGGGGAGCAACACGGAAACCTCCTGGAATCTGGAAAGCAAGCCGCTGAGGGACAGAGAACTTGGCCACCTCCTGACGCGGCAAGGCCAGCCGGCGGGTGTGAAGCCTGTGCCAGGAGCCTCAGGGGACGCCTGGAGGGAGGCCGCCACGTACCCTGCAGCCACCGCGCACGAGCTCAGAGCGCCTGAGCGGGCCGGGCATCACATAGACCTGGGGTCCAGGGAGACCCATGCCAGATCTGAACGACCTCAGGGGGAAGCGGAGTTCAGTGCCTTTAACACACTGGCACACAGACTACACACTGAAATATGAGCGTGTCTGATATACAGCTAAATAAAGTAGGTAAAATTAACCTGTTTCCAATTTTTAGTGTAACTTCTGCAACTTCTAAACTTACATATATGGTCGTTCAACCCCTTTTCAAGCATCCAGGCCAGCTCCCGACTTCCCAGCAGAGAACCAGAGAAAGACCACATGCCAGCCCAGCCAGGGAGGGGCACATAGAGGCCCCCTTTCCAACAGAAGCAGAGAAATTTAAACAACAGAGAGGAACCAAACTGAGATTCTGGAAGTGAAGCACATAACAGCTGAAATGTAAAGTCCTTGCATGGACTTAACGTCTTGAATAGGGCAGAAAATGGGGTGAGCTTGAGGTCAGGACGCCAGGAAGCGTGTGGTCTGAGGGACAGCGGGAACAGCACCTGTGCTCTCAATATAACCTTGTATACGTGAGGGGGCCCGCAGAGACAGCCGGCCTCGGAGAAGCCGCAGGAGAGGTGGTCAGGGGCCACATGGCCCGGACCCGGAGAGACAGGCCCAGGGAATGAAGGTGCCATGGATTCCCAATAGGAACCAAATTCCAAGTCATCACCACAGATCACAGAGGCTGTGTTTTACCTGAATTGATTCCCACTCTTAGGAAGTACCAGCAGGAATTTATTAATCCAGGAATGGTGATGATGCTCTTAAGCAATGTTCTCAGTGGCGTCCCCTGATCAGCAGCAGCAGGAGCATCCCCTGGGAACGTGCTAGAACAGCCAATTCTGGGCCCCACCCCAAATCTATAGGATCAGAAACTCTGGGGGTGGGGCCTGGTAATCTGAGTTTTAATAATTTCTCCAGGAGGAGCAAGGTGAGGTTTGAAAACTCTGCTCTTCAGTAATGCTGGGGAGGCAGCAGTGTGCATGGTGTGACTGCATACGTATTTACGAGTGTGTGCACCTGTCTGTGTCAGATAGATGTGCGGCATCTGCACACACATACACATGTGTGCACACATGCACACACATGCGCACACATGCATGAACCCACGCACACACATGCACAGCAGGTGTCTGCTTGTCCCCTCTGCTCTTCCTCCACATCAGATCCTTAGCCCATTTGTCATCACTGACATAAAGCTTATGTTAAATGCAAGCCAATTAACCAAGTTATACTCTAAGTACCCGCCCCCCCATTCTTTAACTTTTGAAATAAGGTCTACACATGCCTGGAGAGACAAAATGTCTAACCCTACAGAACAGGACCACAGATGATCATGTCTGTGGAAAGTGCTCCCTACACTGTCAAGCCTTTTGTAGACATCCACGGTGACCATCACCTACTGGTTCTGATGGATTTCCCAGACTCCCTCACTGAAGGCACGAAGCGCACCATCGGTGGCAATCTCTGGACTGAGTAGTCGCTACATGTACAGAATCTCAGGGTAGTGCAGGAAGTCACTCAAGGGCTCCTAGAAATTATGACTTCAGGGCAAGATCACGGTGAGCTTCATGGTTCACCTCCACCGTATCTGGCTTCTAACATGTGAGGGCATGGTAAAGGTGGTTGGTTTTAGGAAGGAGGAAGGAGGAAGGAGAATTCGCATTAGGTTAGAAGAAATCCCTGCATTCAGCAAACAGGGATTCAGAAACTGAGACAGATCCGGCAACGAGCCCCAGGAAACTCACTCGTGAGTAGCAGGACTAGAGCTAAAATCAGAATCTGCTGCCAGGGCTCCCCCTGGAAGCCTGTGGGGAGAAGGTTATTTTCACCCCTGCCGGTGGGGTTCATAGGCCGCCCCTGCCCCGCGGTGCTTACATTCAGGAACTCCCCAAAATTAATGCTAAGTGTTGCCCCTTCTGACCTCGAGGAAGTGCAGGGCCAAAGAAACCCTCTCAGCATGCAGAAGGGCCTAGAAAAACCATGCAAAATCAGTAGGATTCTGCAAGGCAGATCCTCAAAAACAGAAGTCGATTTACACTTTATATTAAAAAGGCTAACAAACTCCTAAGTTCACAAGGCAAGAAGTTTTAGGTGATTTGCTTTGTTTTAATGTTTCCATTATTGCAAACTACTGATGGAACCAAAAACTTACCAGAAAAAAGCAAAAACAAGAAACTGAGCACCTGGAGGGTCTGGGATGCAGCATCTAAGTTCCGGTTCCTAGTCAGCGTCGTATCATAATTCATGGCAGAACGCAGAACGGCCACTGATCAGAGCCGGAAGAGGCCACAGAGACCCAGTGTTTCTCTTGTCCCCTTCCCAGCTTGAGCTCTGGGACCCCTTCTCAGCAACATTTCCAAACCACTCAGCAATATTTAGCTAAATCACAAAAAAGTTATAAGAGAAAATAAAAGGGAATCATTAAAGTTTCTATCATAAAGTCCACCTTGCCATAATCTTTGGTGATCTTTAAAATACTTTTTCCCATTCACTAAAGTGACACACGTTTTAATTTACCTTTAAACAGCAAAAGTAAAATAGAAATAGGAAAATTTAAAAATGATTTGTGAACAAATTCAAAATTACACAGTGTGTCCTGTTTGAGAACCAAAAGTATTTCAATTCAATTTAACCCTATCAAAACATCGAA